TAATAAAAGGTCTCTCGGGCGTAAACTACGTAGCGACGATTATAGTATATATTTATAATAGTATAATACGTATAAATTAAGCGATATAAGAGATTAAAGAGTCTATACTAGGCGCTTATATAGTATTATATATTTATTAAGTATTATAGATAGAAGTATAAAAAGAGAGAGCTTATAGAATATATATAGAGAAAAGCTTTAGCGCGTAATAAAAGGTCTCTCGGGCGTAATCTAAAGAAGCGAGTCTATACTTTTAAGCGTTAACTTTAAACGTATTTTGTATAATAATAAGCGACTAGATATACTTTATTTATATAAAGAATAGATAACTTAATATAGGCTATAAAATATACTATTTTTTTTAAAAAAAGAATTAAAATACGTTTCTAACCTCTAACCTCGAAGCTACGTATAGAGTATTCTATATTACCTTTTAGATTTTATATAATAAGGTAGAGTTTACGGTTTTAATTATAGGGGTACTTTACGTATAAAAGATTTAAAAGACGGATATATAGCTTTATACTTTCTTTTTTAAAGAGTAACTTTTAAAAATCGATATTATAACTATATTAGATCGTACTCTTAGATTAACTTTAGACGGAAATTATATATCTAGTAGCGTAGATAGAAAGGTTATAAGTAAAGTAACGATAGTCTAATAGACCGACTTTTCGTAGTAACCTCTATACGATTTTAAATATAAGTAGCTATTAGTTATCTACTACTATCGCTATACGTCTATATATATCTCTACGAAATATAAGCCTCTATAAAGAGCGTAGTATAGGACTAAAGGCCTAGTAAGTAGATTATTAGTACGCTAAGGATTTATAGCCTCTATTATATATCTTTTTTACCGTATTTTCGAATAGTAATAAGTTTCGCGCTATCTACTACTCTAAAACGTAAATAGTATAGCCCTACTTCCTAATAGAGTAAGACCCTAACTTCTTTAGTAGAGCTAATTATAGCTATAATTCTAGCGTTTACGGTATTTAGCTCTAGCTTAGTATACCTTTTAATATTACCTAAAGCTTACTTTACTCTATAGTTAGGTTAATAGCGTATAGGAAGTAGAGTAGCTTAATTCTTAATAATATCTAGCTAATTATAAATAGTAGACTCGCGCTACTAAAGAGCGGACTAATACTTTCTATAGTAGACCCTACTCGTCGACTATTAACTATTATAGCTAGTTTACGCTTTTCTAACTCTAGGTAGTATACTACGGTCTATTAATAGTCGTTATTTCTATATAGTATTTTCTATCCTTAATATTATATTCCTATTTTTTATAAATATTATATTAGAATTCTACGGTCTTCGACTTATAATTAGTTCTATAACGGTTTTTACTTTTTTATTTTATAAGTCTTTTAGCGCGGTAGGTCGAACTCTATATATTATAGTTTTCGCTAGAGGGCGCTAGTTTTATTATTAGCTTCTATAATAGCTATAGTTAGCTCTATAGTCTTTTTATCGACCTTTTACTAGATAGTCTATAGTTTATATTTATTAGACGCTTTTAAGTCTCCGTATTATTACTATAGAGAACCTCTTTTCCGTTACTTTATTAAATAGTCGAACTTTCTTATCGTAAGCCTCTTAAGTTATATAAAATAAACTTTTTAAAATTTCTAATTTTCTTAGAAGTTTACTTAGTTTCTCTTTTTTCTTTTCTATACTAGCTCGGGTAGCTAGGCCTTTCTATACGCGTATAGTAAAAGTAAAAAAATAGAAGTAAAGATAATAAGACAAATAGAGCCCTAATAAAGGCGGTCTAAAAAAAGAGATTAGTATAGTATTAATAGGTAAAAGTAAAGTCTAAACGAAGTAGGCCGGCTAAGCTAGTACTTTACTCGTATTAGTAATTCCGTAAATACTACTAGGATATTACTTTCTACACCTTAACTGTACTATAATTTCGATACACGTAAGGTCGCCGACAAGGGACTAAGGCCTAGTCGCGGGAACAAACGGGGTTCTTAGCGTCGGTAAAGTAAGGTTTACGCTAGCTAGCAAACTGCATGTGATGCTTTTAAAGTTCGCCTGCTTTCCAAACACTTCCTCTCCTCCACTTCCGCGCCAGCAGCAATCTCAACCTACACATCGAAACATCGAAGCTTCTGATTCATCTTCGCAACATCCTCCACAATCACCGACACGCCGGATCCCCATGGCCAACGCACGCCATTTGACTGTCGCCGAGATCAAGTGTCGCACGACACACATCACCCGCACCGAAGCTTCCCTCGTCGTCGCATTCGTCATCTTCACCGTCACAGCCGCCGTCATCCTCCCTCTCTGGTTATACGACGAGAGCGGCAACACCACCAAGCTGCTCGAAGTGTTTCTTGGTCGGAGTCGTACTCATGCTTGTGTTGTTTTGTGGCCTGGACTACGTCCATGCCAGCGTGGTGCTGACATTGCAGGATATCGAGAAACAAGTCCGAGCGTCATGGTATGTCCATCTCGCGCACCATGCGAAACGTACACGAGCTGTTATTGGTAGTGTCATCCTGAACATCACGGGTTCGGAGCGACTTCGATACCATGCCCACTGTGTTCACCTCCTCTACGCCTTTCAGCACCCGCTCTACGTCGAAAACTTCATTGCTCTTCCCGTGAGCCGCGCTTACGCTGCTACCAAGCTCACGGAGTACATCCTCCCAACCCCCGGCCAGCCAGATGATGCCGATTACTGGTCTATCAGCATGATCGCGTCCCTCATCACCGGCGCCGTCACGATCGCGGTCCACTTCCCATCCGATCGCTGGAACAACGTACCGGTCGACCGAGTGACGATGGCCGTCGAGAAATTCCTCCACACTGTTTTCATCCCGACAGCAGTCATCATTCTCCTGATCGCATACAAGAAAAACCACCTCAGTCCCTTCTATTGCAGTCTCCTGGCTGTGTACATTATGGAGGCTTTCTGTCATGCCACAAACAGCTGGTTGAAGATCACGAAGAAGCAGGCCGACGATTCTGTACGCAAGCTTCCGGAAGGAGCCAACATCGACGACATCCCCCTTCCAGAGGGTGGAACAACGGCATGACGGGGGGACATGGGACTTGGTGAGTGATTTCATGCTCAAATTATGGCTTTACACTTTGCATTGCATTGCATTTTCAAGCAGGTAGCCCCTAATGCATGAGAAGGACAGTACTGCATCTGTTTTTTGCTTGCGCTCGTATTGCGACAGCTGAGGTCATGGGAAGGCGTACAGGCTTCTTCGTCTTCTTTGTGTCGACAATAGATAGGTCCAACAGGCGTTTCAGAACCCCATCTTCCCGCCTTTGTGTATGCTCTCTGTCCCATCATGATGTTCCAACAAGATGGCCAGTAACTTTGAGCTTGGAAGATCAAGCTGCTCGCATAGAAAAAGTTCGTGCCAGCAGACAACCGCACCTGCATGCAATTATCTTGGTCCGGGCCTGGGATTGGCGCCGCACTCAACCATCTATCGAACTGTTGTCTTCAGCTGGGGAGAAGCCCTTTTACCCTCGGCAGGACAGGCGTCCATGTCCGGTGGAAAAGGCGCATATGACCAGGCTGATAGCCCACTTCAATCCACACAACCCGTACATATATCTGACCTGGAAATGCTCAGGAGGGATGCCTCGGAATATCCAAATGTGTCGGCACTGTCTCTCCTGCATCTTTCGCCGCGGTCTCAAGCTGTGGGTCGTGGACCCAAACAGACTCTGAATGGTGAACACCATCGGACGAGCTCCATTCAGCGTACTTGCCCTCTGGACCAACCCTTCCCACCCCGATGTTCTTCCGCGCTTCAGCTCGGTTTTCTTCTGCATTCGATTCGAATGCATCTCTCACACGCTCTTGGATGCCCTCTGACGATTTGGGGGTTGGAATCTCGACATACCCCCTGCCAGACGTGTGCGGCGCAAAGTGCCGTGGTGGGAGAACTTCAATATCGTCGATCGGCTGCACTCGATGGAGCATGTGGTGATTGTGAATCTCGCGGGTCATGGGCTTTGTGATGATCTCGTGAGTGTTCACGATTCGAGTCTCATGCGTGACAGCAGGTGCTTGAGACAAAATGGTCTCGACATCCTCTCTTCTTCCCAGCTCATACTTCTGATCAGCCCCTGCACCGTCTTCCTCGCTCTTTTCCACTCGCCTGGGACGACTTGGATTCTCTCTGGTCGTCTGGAGGTGAGCAACATTCCGATTTGCTATGGCTTCGGAGTAGGGGTCATCAGTAGGTCCAATATGGATGGCGTGGCTGTTGACTACAGATTTTGGGTCGGAGAGCAGCGTTCTCCGAGCATCTTGCTGTAAACCTGATGAGCGGACATCCCTCCGAAGCGGCTTTGAGAAGCTCGCAGTGCCGTGCAAGGTCAGCGGTTCGAGATCTGCTACCACCCCGGCCTGCTGCTCGCCCAAGATCTTTCGGCTGGGGTTTGCTTGCGTTGCATCGGCAGTATGCTTGCTCGACATGGCAGTGAAACGGGTGTTCAGCCAGGGGTGCAGGCCTAAGGCAGTTGACAGAACTCCAATGTCTGGCCTTGCTTGAACAACGCCGTGATGATGCACTCCTCGCTTGCAGCCATCTGCTAGTGACCTACCGTTGGTAGCGGGAGAGCCGCCGTCGAGGTGGCCGCCGCCCAAAGATCCCGCGGTGTCGTCAAGGCACATGCATTCCAGTGTTATGACGCGCTAATCGATCATCAGGCTGTCCACTTCCGCGGCTTCCAACCAGAGCAGTAGAGGTCCGGGAGACACTCCCAAGTCTTCAGGCGTAGAGGCTGTATAGCCAACGAAGATCGATCGTGGGCTGCTTCGCCTCATCATCGTCGTCGTCAGTGGTTCACGGACGCCAAACACGAGGGCGTGCGGGAGCTGAATCCTTCGAGATGAGATCTAGAACGTCATCCGGTGGGCCAAACTCAAATCCCACCTCATTACTCCTCACTCTCCTCACTCCTCACTGGCTCTGTCCTTTTCCAACCATGGTCAAGACGACGACAACTGGGAAGTCTGGCGGTACCAATGGACCGGCGCTTGGCGGTTCTCTTCCCGATGATGCCTCCTTACATTCATTTACGACTGCAATATCAGATGCTTTGCGCGAGCTACGGACCTGGGATTAATGGAGTCTGCTCAAGACGTCAAGCTGCTTCGACTACCACAGACCCGGGGAATCGGTTTGGCTCGATCTCAATGGCTGCGCTTGGCAGACAGTCGTGTGTTGGACGTTTCAGCCTTGTTGCTTCTCTGGTCCAGCCAAATGCGCCGCAATAGCTCATGACGCAGAGCAGACGGAGCCCAGGCGACGTACTCCGTACCGATACGTATCGTCGATTTCAACGCGCTGGCCACGTTCTTCATTCTCGATACTGCCTCTCCCGTACTTGCATCAGCCACGTCACAGTCCCACTAGTATAGACCTGTGGCGGCAGCTGATGGGCAACTGGGGGGTAGCCGTCATTCTGACCCTGAATCCAGTAGTCTTCATCAGATCAAGGTCGTGAGCCAACAACAGCGGAGAAACATGGTGCGATTGGTAGAGGAACAGATGTTCATTCCAGCAAGACAGTCAATGCTTGGTCCAGCTCAACACTTTGGTGCCGCGGCGGCATGACGTTGCTGTGTGCCAGACGGAATATACATAGGTGTAGAATCCTCGTCCTTGTGAACGCTGTAACCATTATCTTTGTCTCCCATCGCCAGATCTAACCCCAGTTTCTTCTACAAACTCAGATTCACTCAACAGATTACAATCAATATGCAGGCCGCCAAAGAAGCTGTCAAGAAGTTCACTTCTAAGGATGGGTAAGCGAAGCCTGCAATGACATTTGACCACAACTAACCAAGATCCAGACACCATGACACCACTGTTCATGAGACCGTCTCCCCTGCAGTTACACAGGAGACCGTGAGCCGGTACGAAAGCCTGCCTCCCGATGTCAACGCATCTACTGAGATAGCGTAGGCAACAAGAGAACAGAGTCCAGACAGCTTTGGACAAAGAGGTACACCAAGACCATTACCACACCTCCGTCCAGCCCGTGCACGACAGAGAAGTGCTCCCCGAGCAGCATCACCACAAGGTACAACGTTCCGTCATGATACAATTCCGGGCAACTCGCTAATCCTCTTCAAGGTGGGAGGTGTTGAGCACCGCAACTTCGAGCATGACGACCACTCGAGGAACAAGGAACGTCTCGCCGCTGAAGCAGCTCAGTTCAAAGACCAGTCTACCAGAGTAGAGGGGGAGCATACCACCCGCGGCGAGCCCGTCGTTGCTGGCGAGCATGTACACCATCATGTGCATGAGAACATCCAGGTGCGATCACTGCTACGCTCCTTATCTTAGCTGTACTGACTTCCCTGTCCCAGCCCGTCGTCAACAAGCAGACTGTCGAGCCTCACGTAGTGCACAACACCATTCCCGTCCACGAGGTCCACCACAACGCTGCCCAGCATCATGGCACATCAGCTCTGCCCGCTGTGAGCATGAGCGAGTTCCAGAATCAGGGAGGTTCGCTCGGCGGACGTGGTGAGCGCTCTGATGCTTTCACCGGCGAGCCAAGGCATGTTGGCGGTGCCCTTAGTGGTAACAATCACGGCGGCAACACGACCGGTGGTGCGGTTGGTGATGGTGTTCACTCTACCGGCAAACCCACACTTGGCCAGAAGGTCAACCCCAAGATCGATGCCGATAGAGATGGGAAAGCTGGTATTTTGGATTAAACAGTCTGGAACACAACACAGGGCGTTGATATAGCGAAATGTTGGATCATGGTAATGTGCTTATGACATGAAAGTATTGTATTACTACAAGCATCAACAATGGACAAAATTTCAATCACTCAGCCACTTCTTCTCGTCTCGCAAAAACGCTGCGACTCCGTCCGGCCTATCCAATCCCAACACATTTCGATCGAATAACTTGCCGCCATACTCTGCGAGCCAGTCCAAATGTCGGCATGCACTTCGTCTCTGAGCGGTATCAGCCTCATCTACTAACTCCGTCGGCGTTGCCGGAACGATCCGAGAGCGACGATAGATTCCTTCTCTAGTCGTAATGCGCCATCCCTCAGTCGAGTACTCGAGCCTCGTCACCAAACGACATCAACCACGCAATCGTAACGTCGCTTATCCAGTTCAAACGATGCATTCACAGTCCCCAGCGACTTCACCAACGCTTTGCCGTTCTCAATGTCGATTGCGGCAGGGTCGACTGTGTGGAACGAATCGAAGAAGTGACGAGGGGTGTTCTTGGTCATCTCGACGAAGCCGTCGATGTCGCCTTGATATCTGCTAATCGTTAGTGCAGCCTCTGGATCAGAGGGACGAATTCGTACAAAGAAGTGTGGGCATGCGTCTTGCTGGCATCAGGATGGAAAGTCTTGCGCCAGTCATCCCATTCTCCATGATCGCGGTGGAACCTTTCTCTAATCATCACCGAGCGCATCTCGGACTCGTCTACGAATCTCTGCAATCGTTGGTTATCCATACTGTATACAGATTTGAAGGATAATGTTTTCCGCCTTAACTTCATCAAACCATCCGGTGCTTTTGATATACTGGACGAGGACGGCTTTCACGGCCCGACTATGCGTCGCCGATCCGAGAAACGGCTTGTGCATCGGCTCAGCTGTGTCGGTATTGCCGATGTGCCCCGAACAAACCCGTCACTGACGTCAATTATCGTGAAGTAATCTGGCATGAAGAAGAGGCTGTTGTTGGAAAATACGAGAGGTCGTAGCACCGCTATGGGAATGAATGGCCACACTACTCGAGCTTCACCACAACTTTAGCGGCACTCACACCCTTCCTCGACACATCGACACCTTTTTGAATGCTCCCCAGACCTTCGCCCACGACCATAGGATCTGGCTTACATTGCAAAGATCCGTTTTCCAACGCCGAGGCCATCCAAGCGTGGACCTGGCCGTATTGTTCACTACGAACCAGGTCTGGTATGCTCACTGTAGACGTTAGGCTCCGAAACATGTACGGAAGAACGATACATACCTCTCTGGACTTCGATACCTTCCACTTCTGCAGGCTGGAGCACCGCCACGATCTTCTTCTTTCCGTCGACCTTCATCAGAATGCGGCCTAGAGCGGGGATGGTCTTGTCGTTGTCAGCAATGCAGTCCAGCGCTCCAGCGACCTGCTTCCCTTGCAAAGCAGCCAACATCTCCGCCTCGACCTCAGCCTTGCCGTAATCAAATACCGTAGCTGCGCCCAGTGATTTACACAGCTCATGGTTTCGAGGGCTGGCGGTGGCGAAGACTTCGTATCCGGCGGCGACAGCCATTTGGATGGCAACACACCCAACGCTAGAGCTACCTCCCCATACGAGGACCACTTCTCTAGCAGTCTTCGAACTTTCGAGGCCAGAGACCGGGAGACCCAATTGGACGAAAAGTCCAGCCATGGTAGTATCGCATGCCAGAGGTAATACCACAGCCTTGACCAGCTCGACTTTATCGGGCACCTGAGTCGGGACCCATTCAGCCACAACAACGTAGTTCTGGAAAGCCGCTTTTGCAGGTTGCCCAATCGTCGCACCAAATGTATGTGCCATCAATCGATCCCCAACTTTCCATCTGGTCACCTCCGAACCAACTTCGACAACAGTCCCGGCCATGTCGCTGCCCAGGATCGTTGGGTACTTGATCGGATTGCCGCCAACTGGTGGATTGTAGTCTTGGATCTTGTACTCCTGGAGAATTATATCAGCCTTCGACTCGACCTTGAAGTATTACTGGGTTTGAAGACAGACCAATGGGTTGATTGCCACGAAAGCTGCTCTGACCACAATCTCTTTGGGACCCGGTGATGTGTACGGCGCTGCTTCTACCTGGAACTGCTCCTTTGGGGCTTTGATCCATGCAGCAGCATTCGAAGGCATTTTGAACAGGGTTTGGAGATTTTGTCAAGATCGCTACGCGGTAATGTGCGAACAAGAGTGGTCGAACAACCATCTTGATGTCTTCACCAATCCATCTTAATATATACCCTGTCTCTGGCTAATCGGTGCTGTGCTATCTCCGCCCTCCTTTGGAGATAAATTGAGCAGGATGACTTGTTGGCTGCATGGTCCACTGCTCATCTAACCCGGTGGAGGAGTAAAATCACCAAGTCCTTCTCAAGAGGTTGCTGGTGTCAACTGGCGGATGACTCTGTGCCCTCATTCTGCTAATGAAGCTTCTACGAACACAGAGTAATCAGCGAGCTGTGACCGCTGACAGCTGCGGCGGCGACGGACTGGCAAGTAACGCCACAGTATTTAGAGCTCCATAGGAGTTGCTAAGTCGGGCGAACATCTCCTAACTCCGTCTGCATCCTTCATTAAATGATAGCCGAGGTATTCGTCCAAGCGAGTATTGAAAGTAACTATGCTTCGATCATTGAAACAATATACAGGACGGCCCGACTGTACTGTTTGGGAACTGATCAAAATGTGAGGCAGCTACCAGGCCCGAACATGAGGCACATTTGGAACTGAATCTAAGTCCCATTACTCATGCATGTTCATTCCTGACGAGGCCTGTCTTCTCCATAGTATGCTTGCAAGGCATGTCCTTTCCAGATGCCGATAGCTTCAGCACGATAGTCATCCAACTCGCAGCGAATGGTCGTACTTTGGTTCGAAGCATTGAATACATAGTTCACTGGACTATCACCGTAGCTAGGCCACGCTGGGGCTTGGGATACTGAAACAGTCAGTCACGAGCGAACCCAAATCTGATCTTCGACTTACACATAAGGTTGTTCGGATCCAATGAATTCACAAAGCTGATATACTTCGTCACCATCAGCCTGCTCAACTCCTCGTGAGAGGGAACTGGCTTGACTGGCGGATAGTAATGAATTGACGTAGTGAAATTTCCGGGCAGCCTGAAGTCATAAGCAAGATCAGCACCATGAGTTGCAAAGCCAGGCCCCAACCCAGTCCAGTAGCTGATGGGGATGCTCGTAGACTCGGCGGCGAACCGGTAGCTGTATGTGGACAACCCCAACTGAGACCATTTCTCGGCAACATAACGACGTCCGGCATCGGCGAAGTAGTCACCAAGAATGGCTGCTGTACGTCGGTGTTGAGGCGTGCAGGACAGATTCGCTGCTTCCATGGCATCGCAAAAGGGGTAATCAGGGGGAAGCGAGTACGGAGGCGCTTGGTCACCTTCGGGATATGCGGCAAGAAGGCTGTCGACTGTGGTGTTTTGGAGCCCTGGGAGGACAGCTGCCAGTAGCCGTCGTAGACCTGCTGCATCTTCAGGTGCGCCGCCGATGCTATTGACCGCGAACAGGCCTTCGTCAGTATTCGCCCCGACAATGATAGGCACCCGATGCACGTGGCCTTCGTCGAGCTCAAGTACTGGCTCTCTCTTGATCAGATCCCCGTCGATAACAGGACCCAAGTTCGGGACGGACAGCTCGAATGGGTATATGGCTTCGATTGGGGCTTCCCGCAAGCACTGGAGCGTGTCTACAGCATCCGAGCAGTTGGCATGGGTGGTAATTTGATCATACTCTGCATTCAAAGATGAGGAGAACTTGGGGTTGCACGAGCCCAGGATGGTGCCGCTTGACATAATCGCTGCTCTGAAGAGGCCACGGCTCCCGTTGCCTCCTTGAGATATCAAATGAAAGCCGGTACTGCAGCCACCTGCACTTTCTCCCCACACAGTGACTTTGTCTGGATCTCCACCAAAAGATTCGATATTCTCCTGAATCCATTCCAAAGCTAGTCGTTGATCCCAAAGGCCCAGATTCGAAATGCCGGCGTTCAGTGAGACATTGCCGACTGGAAAGCCCAGGAACGAAAGGCGATAATTGATGCTTACTGCCACTATGGGCTGCTCATTCTCTACGCTTGTCTGGACAATGTAGGTCAAGTTCCACATCGGGTCGGCGTTCGAGCCTTGCGTGAAGCCACCACCGTAAATCCAGACCAGCACAGGAAGACCGGTGTGAACAGTACTTGGCCGTACAACATTGAGGTTCAAGCAGTCTTCTCCCTGGGTGAGGTTCAGATCCAAATTTGAGCCAGAGCCATAGCAGGTGGTCCCATATTGTGTTGCGTTGATTGCGCCTGTCTGACATTTTGCAATTGGCCGTGGCCTGTCAAGACGAGGCGCTTCGGCGAATGGGACTCCCAGGAAAGCATCTTGATTGAAGGTTTCTAAGTAAAGGCCATGTATCTCTCCAGTTTGAGTCCTCACCACTGGTCCTTCATGGGATGGTACTCGATCTCCGACCACGGCGGATAGAAGGAGTGTTAAGCCAAAGAAAGTGGTAGAGTGCATCACCGCGGGTGTCTGATTTTGGCAGAAGGGATGGCCGAAAAGGAAACGCTCTTCGCTTGTTCAGCTCGTCCATGAATGAACTGGTAGTACAAGTTATGTCATCGTCAAGACTTTGGTGGAGCCGAAAGTACAGGGGTGTTCATCGGTGCGGCTGAAGGGAAGCAAGAGCACCCCTTGCTAAACTTCGCACTTTGGGCCGAATCAGGTCTGCAATTTGGGTTCGGGAAGAAGTTGCCTGGTGCCTTGGGAAAGCGAGAAAATTTGGTCATGTTTGCCAAGTGTACAATTGACTCCGCTCTATCTGGAAGCCTTGTAGCAGCCTCGAAAGGTCACATCTCTCGACGGGAAAAGACGTACACCTTCCACTGGCGTTACTGGTCCTTCTGCTTAACAAGAGTCCGACACACATGAGGGCCCAAATATGCATACATGGCTGACACCATACTTACTGAAAGTTTCGACGTAGAGACAACTACTGAAACGAGAAGCCCTTATAATCGCTTTCGGCACATCGTGCAAGCTCATCGATGTACTTGTTCACGCCACCAAAGTAGCAAAGGGGTTGTTTCTTGCGACCTGGAATGTTTACTCTGCAGCCCAGTCAGCTTCATGACACACATCATCTATGAGGAAACGGACTCACCCCATGTACCATGAGTCCGTCTGGCCGAATAGGGACGTCCTGGCCGCACGATCAACCTCTTCTTTCCAAGACTGCTCGGCCTCCAACAAAGGCTCTACTGTCAATTTGTCGTGCTTAGCCATCCAAGACAACAACTGAGCAACCCAGTCGCCCTGAACTTCCGCCAACTGTGGCGTCAGACCAAGGGCTGATGGGGCTTGTGGACCCATCGGGAACAGGAGGTTAGGGAAACCAGCCGTGGACAGTCCAAGATACGTCGATGTACCCTTGCCGTCTTGTTTAATATCCCAGCGGTCCTCGAGCTTCGTACCGTTCTTGCCTCGAATATTCATTGCCAGCATCGACGCTGTTAAGAAGTCAAATCCAGTGGCCAAAGCCAAGATGTCCAAGCAATGAAGTCTCCCAGAAGCTGTGATGACGCCTCTGTCCGTTACTTCTACTATGGGGTCGCTGTTCACATCAATCAAATCGACGTTGCTCTGGTTGAAAGTCTCCCAATAGCAACTCTCCAGGCTCGGACGTTTGGTTCCAAATGCATGAGGCGGTTTGATAGGTGCTAGAATCTCTGCTTCGACTGGATCCTGCAGTCGCTGACGGACTTTAGACCTCCAGAAAGCATAACTGCTCATGAGACCGATGATCAGCAACAACTCTCCACCGATTGTCCTCGTCGTAATAATGACTTACGCTCGTGCATTTGAAACTTTTTCATCCAAAGTGTCTTGGTAAGTTCACACCCTCTCCACCAGCGGTGCTGACCTTCCATACCGAATCCACATCATCCCAATGAGCTGATGTGACCTTTTTGCCGAAGGATATGCTTTCCATCAAATTGAGCTCTTGGCATACTCATCGAAGATAGCGGTGAATCTCCTCGCGAGATGGGAACCTTTGAGCCCAATTCCATCTTTTCCAAAGCCGTGGCAAGCTAAAAGAGTAGAAGGGTACTTCGGTATCGACGCGGCAGCCTGGACATCGTGTGTACCACCAGACTCCGCCAACATCCGAACAGGCATCCCAAAGCCTTGCTTTGAAGCCTGCCTCCCTCAGCCTATGTAGCATCCATATGCCGGCCCATGATGCCCCCACCACGAGAGCATCGAGATTTTCAGTGGTGTTTGCGGAAGATCCAGGGTTGCCTCTACCTTCCTCCGAAGACGAATGTACGCTGTGGTCGAGTTTCATCCAGGGATTTTGACCAGGGGCTGGAAAAGGGGCAAAATATAGTTGGTCAGACATAGCGAAAATCAGTAAATAGCACCTTGCAAGAAAGGAAGAAAGACTGACAACCTTTCCGTCCTTTATTTGATACTTGGGCCTTTCTCCTCGCTGCGATGCTTACCCTCATTCTGAGGACGTGATCGTCTACCACGCATCTTAGCGTGACGCTACGTCTCAATAGTTTGGTACCCTTGATGGAAGTGTTGGGGCAGCCTTGCAAAGGGTTCCCTCTCGTGAAAGGCAGCGAAAGAAAGCCAATCAAGGGCGCATGACCTGTGCTAACACATTCTGCCAATAATTTTCAGCTTCATGAAGAGACATCATCAAGCTACACAGCAGGATCTGTGCCAAATTCTTCCAAGTTTACAGATCGGGTCCGAGTGGCATGAAGCCAAGCGGCCTCCAGTATACTTGTTGGGTAATTTCAGACGAGCAGATGAGGAAGAGTACGACGATGCTGGCGAGAGTTTCATAGCCAGAAGCGGTGCGAACTTGGATGGATATATGGAGTCCAGGACGAGCAGAGAGTGTCCGTCAGGCGAAATTTCCTATGATCACGCGAGCGGAGAGGAAAGAACGTGATCAGCCTTGCAATAGCAATTGGCCGAGCTTATAATCCATGTTTCTACGTTTAATCTATTGTTGCCGGCCAAACCTTGTAGTATTCTCTGGGCAATCACTAGTTGCGAATTTCGCAGCAGCCCTCTCGAGAATAGGTCCACACGTAGCACCAAACGAGACTTTCGTCGAAACATCTTCCTTGAAGCTAGAAAGTTGCCAGGATCTTGGGCAGAAGTAGCTTTTATAGTCTCAAGAAGGTAGTTGAGACGGGTATCTCTTAATCACAGAATGAGTGCTAGCCACAGTCCAGCAACTCTGCTAGAGAGACCAGGGTGGAACGTAAAAATTGTATCTAAGGGTTTCCATAGCCAACACCTGTCTTTAGCAAGCGACTAAATCGACCCAAGCCAACCAAAATCAACAGCGCAGTCTGTTAGGTCGAAGTTGACATGCGTGAAGTCAGTAATAAGGTCCTCTAAATGACTCCATCGATACAACATTCTCTTCACGTTCTACTTCCGGAGGCTCCAAACCGCCCAACCAATTGACGGTCTCAAACACCAGACCGGCAAATAGCAGCAATTTTCCCGGGTTGACGTAAGACCCACAGACTGGGACTAAGTAGTCGACCATCTTGAGTTGTGCTTCTGCTTTCTTCCTTTATCGAAGCAACGGCAAGTGCGTAGCCGACCATGGTACCAATAAGTGCACCAACGGAAGATAGATTTGTCGAGTTCACGAAGTGGGAGAAGGCCCCGGACCTCGAATAGACGAATGCATTTCGATGAGTACAGTAGAGGGATGTAATAGCCACCACTAGCTACCAGCACGCAGTCCTTCTATCTACACGGCTAGATTTTTGATCTAGTTATAACAAGAAACAGCTGCGGTTTTCCCACCTCGACTCTTACCTATGGATTGGTGTCCTGCAATGTAGCGCTCCAGAGCATGTATCGAATGCTTATACATCAACAGTCTACGTTGATGGCCTTGCTGTGCACATTAACATGGCTAGAAGGCTATTGCGGTCCTCGCAGATTCCAAGGCTATGGCTGTTCCAGATTAAGTCTTTGTCCTTCCAATGTTGAAAACAAGCTTTGACTTGCCATCATCTGTGCTGCAGGAGGCACAGTCCGGTGCGTCATTGGGCTAATATGTTGCGAACTCAGCCTCATGCATCTCTTTGAGCATCTCTTTGATGCCGCTCATAAACTTATTAAGACCCGCACACCACTTGATCATCTACCCTTCGATCTCACCGACACTTGCTACGACATCATCAAGCCCTTAACCGGTCTTCACCGCCCACCATCATGCGTCTAACCATGTGTTTCATCATCCTCGCTGGACTCAGCACTGCACAGCTGACCGATTGGGAACGCATCCACCAAACACTCCACCGCTACGCCCCAGTCATCGACACGAAAGACTTCGCCCAACTAGACCAGATCTTCTCTCCCAACGCGCACCTCAACTACACCGGCTTCCTTTCAAATGTGAACGGATTGCCTGCGATTCAAGCCGGCCTGGCTCAGTCAGTCACGGGTCTGCGCACCCAGCATCTACTCGGCACCACGATCATCGACATCGACCATGGATTCCCAACGCTTGGCGGGAAGAAAGCCAACAGCACGACGTACTTCCAGGCGTCGCTATTTGCTGAGGCTGGGACCAATCTCACGACGCTCTTCGGTTACTACGTAGACGATCTTTCCCAGGGCCATCAGGGCTGGCGGATCGACAATCGGAAGCTGGTATTTCAAGGGACCTCCGTCCAGGGAAATGCAGCTCCGGGGCCACCCAGTCCCTAAGGGTATAAGGAAAGGCTCGATATCAAGCTTTCATGCGAGTACCAGTTGTTTAGATTGAGGCGGTGGATTATTGAATGGTGATTTGGAGGAGGGGAGCTTGACGTTTGCTGGCATCCAGGCGACGATATCTCCGTTCGTACCGAGACAATGTTATGCTTTTTTCACAATTTCCAGGTAGTCCAATCTGCGTGACAGTGGAAGATGGGTGCGTGTCCCTTGAAACGATGCTCGTAGTGCTGCGAATGCCATTAGGCGCTTTCAAGTCCCACTAACCCATTCTTTTCGAAGCGGGACTGATTTTCGAGACCAACGATAGCATCCTCAAACTAGAATCATGCCGCTATCAACCCAGTATTTGGCCAGTAAAGCTTTCCTCGCCTCCTCATGATCAGTTTCGCCAATATCGCTCTCTGCAATGTTAACGAATGCGACCCGTCGATAAGTCGGATCGGTATCAGCCTCTCCGACCAGCTCAAGCAGCAGGCACGCCACCGAGTGGTTGGTGCTATAATCTGTCTGACGACAAAGGGGCAGTAGAAAGTGTTTGACTCCTTGCACCATGGAAGGACCCTCTTGTCGACTGAAGTCGGGAAAGACATGGAATTTATCGTGAGGTAGCCCTTCGCTGATGTTGGAGACCAGAACTTCTCTTTTGTTCATAGCTGCTCGTTCGATGATGCGTATCTGCACGTGAGCCGGTATAAGAGATCCCTTGATTCTCAAACGTCTGGGCTGAGAGGTGTCGTTCACGGGACTGTTGTCCTTGCCCAGAAACCCGAGAATGTCGCACAGCCAGGGATGGACGCCGATCTTCCACCCTGATGTCCTGATCTCGCCATCTACGGACAGCCATGAGAAAGAAGGATAATCGCGATTCGAAGGTTTCTTGACAGCGTCTCCAATGGTCTTGCCCTTGAGGCCGAGGTCGATCCAACACAGCTATCGCAGTAGATGGTTCTTGAACATACCCCAGAAATAGATATCCCGGATCAGCTGTCTAACATGTCGGGCAAGTCCCATCACGGCCACGGGCCTGTCGTCCAGAAAGGTGAGGTTTCCTTGGCTGAACCTTTGAACCAACAAGGCCCATTCTGTACAGATCTGGCACGAGCCGGCAGACTGGCACGGTGCTTGCCAAAGTCAGGATGTCTCACTCGGCTGTCGATGAAACACCTTCTCCCCAGATTGCGGTATCAGGTCTGAAGGTATGCCGTGAGGATAAGCTTCGGTGGCAGTCATGGAGGTACATTGCCATATGACTTGATCCTTCGTGAAGTGGATCACCCTTGGCGACAATAATCGGTTTTGAAACACCGAAGCTAGCTTATTAAGAGGCTAATCCTTGACATTGGAGCTCCAGAGCTGAAGATCAAACAAGCTATATCTTCCAGCCGGCAGGTCGAGCGATCCATGTGGTTTTGCAGAAATGTCGACTTGCATTGGCCGTATGACGTTGAGGCTTCGCTCTCGGAATAGGCGCAGGTGAGCATGTGCGTTGGCGGTTGCGGCAATATTGCATTGGGCATTGGCGTAGATGTCGCTCATTCTCTGTGATTCTGACTCCCAATTCGACGTATCATCCTGGATGATGCAGAGACTGTCAATCCATATGTGGCGAATCCCTAGTTCTAGACAGACTGTCATGGCTTGCCGGAAGGTAAGTGGCAAGGCGGCCTTCCTTCTACCAGCGTACAGGCTCTCGAAGGTGCTCTTCTCCAGCTTCAAAATGCCTTTACCGTCACCCGAACAGTGGCTCAGGGTGCAGTATGGGACATGTGAGTCCTCAGTAGTGGACCACACCCGGAACATGTCGATGCCGGTAGGGGGACTCAAGTCGATGAGACGAGTCGGAAGGTGGCGAGTGACAGTGTTTGACGAGCATCGAGGATGAGACTTGCATGCCTCCATCCATCTTGTCAGCTGGCTCATGACAGTCGGATCTCCCGTATGCGACTTTGTCGTCTCATGCTCCAAAATTCCGGCCTGTGACTCTTTCAGAAAAGCCTCAGACGGCAGCATATTCTTTTCCGGCACAATGACCCTGTACAAAGATCGTAGTCTGGGGCCGACAACGTTGTCCATCATTTTGAGAAGCACGCCGTGTAGGTCCATGGTGAATGCCGTGAGACTGACGCAAGTGAAAACGTCGTCCATTGAGTGAACCTCCGATCCCTTCCACAGATCACCTGAGCAGGAGATGTTCGAATCATTGCTCTTCGTCCAGAATTCCTGGCAGAGTTCACAGCCTTCTTTAACAGCGTCGGCGAAGCCACTGGGTGTCGCATGGTGGACGTAAAATTGAGCTCCGTTAAGATCAATTTGACGTACGGTTCCCCCAAAGCAGGCGATGCATGACCTGCACAGGTGGTTGTTCATTTCTGGTCGCCGCGGCAACTTCCAACGGCGTGGAGTGACATGCAGATCTTCGTTGATGCCTTACAGGTCCGTAAAATTCAATCCGTCGTCTGCCAGGACCAAGCAGCCGCGTTCTGGCTCCGACGAACCTTGATCTCCTCCCTTTGCATGTCAACTCCAGTTGCGCTGAAGCGGATGCAGAGCACTTGCTCGAACTTGTGGCGGGGCTGAGAAGGCCGGCGTTTTGGTGGGAGCTGGTTTATGCACAGATGCCTGAGGCATCATATTTTCATGAAGTCGCTGTAATGACGGAAACTCGGGTAGCCAAATCGTCAATCCTGCTCTAGCTGTATGATTTCTAGAAGTGTGTATCCCGTGAGCGAATTCAAGATTCAATGCTCGAGCGACTAACCTCTTCAGCAAGCCATCAAAAAGGCACATCCATATCCTCCACCTTTTCCTCTTGCCTCGGTGTCGCCGCTCCAGATCCATCCACTGGCTCACCAAGCGCCTCTCGAATGAAACCTACCAATGCAGCGACATACTGCTTCTGACTGCTGGGCAGAAAATGTCCACCAGGATGATACACCACTCGCTGAACACCGCCTTTCTGGCCTTGTCCTTCGACACAAGCCTCCACCAGCCTCAACGACCGTTCTTCAGAAACGACAGTGTCCACACTTCCAATGAAATGCATCATGGGCGTTTGAATCTTCGGTTCGTAGAAAGCCTTGTAGAGCTCATGGGTCGAAGCGCCAAAGCCAGAGTACGACACCGCAAAGCGTAACGGAGGATGTATACATTCCTCAATGAACCCGGAGTCCTTGGTGAAAGAGTCTGGATATCGCATTCCACCTTTCGCTTGATGCTGCTCGAAACTCTCCCGTCGTCCCGGCTCCAACAGCGCAGCAACCATGCCTGCCGCCGCAGCTCCTTGCGAAAAGCCCAAGGCACCATCAAACGGCCCTGATTCCTTCAACACCGTCGCAATCGTATCAAGTCCGACCTCGATCCCTTCGTAAGTGTACGGCTCGTCCTCACCCTTCCGTTTCCACCACCCGTAGGCCTCGATCATATCTGACGGGCCATCGCCATCGTGGCCAGGCACGTCTGCGGGGTTGAGACGGATGGGACCGGTAGGGTAGATGAGTTCGATGCCGCCGGGGAATTGTCGGAGATGGCCCGGTTTGGGGGCGGGAGGGAAGTGTTTTTCGAGCGATTTCTTCAGTGCCTTGGTCTTGATCTCGAACATGTGTCCAGATTGTGTGTAGCCGTGGAGCATGAGGACCTTGAGTATTCGATTGGACGTATCTCCATTTGAGGTGGCCATTGTTGTGTGTCGGCGAATGCAAAATTGGAAGGTTCTGAATCCGGTATGCGATTGTCGAAGACCATGTGACATCCACCTTCCCCGTAAGTGACGATGCTGTACTGCATATGTATTTGTCTACTATTCCCAGCAAATTCAAGAAGTGAAGTCCAGATTGCGCATCACGTGTCGCTTAATAAGCTCGCCGCTAGGGCTACGCCAAGCCTAAATCCCTGTCCTCCGACAGCTGTCCTCCATCGAATCTCCAGAACATTGACAACACCACCACACCACGACAATCCACGAGAACAGCCGACTCCCCAACCAATTTCAATCAAATTACCCCTTCAAATCAGTCGCCGACCATGGACCAAGCCAAGGATCTCCTCGAAATGCCGCGCGAATTCCTCAAGGACGGCAGGGGCTTCATCACGCGCTGCAGCAAGCGTACGTCCTCGAACAATACCGCTTTCAGGGGCGCAGAGACAGTGAGTATGAGACTGGTGCTGATGATTTCCTAGCCGACCGCCGCGAATTCCTCCGAATCAGCCAAGCCGTCGGCATGGGGTTCCTCATTATGGGCGTGATTGGATACATTGTCAAGCTGAGTACGTATCGGTCGCTGGCATGAGAAAGGGACGGAGACTGACGTGATCCGCGCTTTCTACAGTCCATATTCCCGTGAACAACATCTTGGTTGGTGGCGCATAGACATGAATCAGAGGAAAGAGTGAGACTTGCGGTCAAGACATAGACGGCTTGTGGGGAGGATCAGGCAGTGTACAAGAAGAGGCGAGGGGAGATGAGAGTTGGCGGTTCTTGAGGCATACTTGTCACAACAAATGGCATAGCGCGGCGTTCGCAGGGTGGGCGGCACAAGGGGCGCCAATTAAAGCACCAGCTTCGACTCGAGAGGATGTGTACGATTCGCGAATTGGGAAGAATAAAGACCAGCCATCAATCCATCCATTTCATGCCATCTGGGGATGTCATATATACAGTATGGTCCACTGCGTGAGCTTCCGTTTCTCCAAACGCCGTATCGTGTTCATCTGTCGTAGATTGTGCCCTGCCCATCACTCTTCTCCCCCACTGCTTTGTTCATCGCTCATGTCGTCGTATTGCGCCTCGCTGAACTCGCCCTCCTCTAGTCACTCGTCATCTCCACCCCAAAGCGCACCCAACCCCATTCGATCCCTTAACCTGGTCCGCCTCGTACTTGCACCGCCCTCATGCCGGCCGTAGTAGCGTGCATCATGTTGAAGCTGTGCAGTGACTCTGGCGCCCATCGGACTGCTTCCCAGACTGCCTGCCTTGGCATACGCCGAGCCGTTCGCACACTCCTCTTCATCGCCAGCCACTTCATCGTTCTCTGCCCCGTCGATCCAGCTGTGCACTGTACACGTTCCAAGGCCGTGATCCCAGCCATTCCAAGATGTGGCGGCAATGACAGGTGCAGATGGATGCCATGAGCAATCTCGCACGATAGTCTTCCACACTCCTCCATGGCCGTAGTAATCGTATCGATCGACAAAACGCTCATCACTTGCGGGTCGTGAGTTCTTGGTGGCGGCGAGGACATTGATGGGCTCAGAGGCTTGAGTGCCATCCAGGTTCCAGACGTAGATCTTGCCGTCATGCGAGCCGCTGTAGATGTACCGCCCGTCGGTTGAGCCAGGCGGAGAGAAGTGGCAGCGGATGAGCGTCTTCAATACGCGATGGCCGCGGAATGTGACGAGAGAGCAGTCGTGGGGGTGAGGTGTGTGATCGTCGGTATCATACGGCGAGAAGCGGTAGTCAAAGTTGGTAGTATAGTCCTGCGACAGCTATCAGCTTGAAGTCAGAGTTGCAGAAACACGGCACTCACCTGAGGGTTGATTCTCTCTCCAACATCCGTGCTAATCATCTTGCGCAGGTCCCAAAGCTTGCACGTCTGATCCTTGGCATTACTGATAACATACCTGCCATCGCCCTTGCTGTCGATATATGTCAAACCTTCGGTGTGGCCAAGGAACATACCCGCTGGCCTCATGCTGGAGAGCGACCTTCGATCCCACACCTTGAGAGTGGTATCGTCCGATCCAGAGTACAGAATGTGTGGACTAAGCTTGTCGCCGAAACACACCGCATTCACATCGTCCCCATGTCCAGGAATCCGTAGGATGCTGCGGCGGGCTTCGAGGTCGTAGACATATACGCTTTGGTCGGATGTTCCTGCTACTATCTCACCGCCGTCTCCAGAAAACCTCAATGACCAAATGCCAAAGTGGCCGTGATGCCGTCCCCAGCCTCTACCACCACCTCCACCATGGCCACCTGAACCCATGTCGCTGAAGTCCAGCATCTGTGGCTCGCTCATGTCGCCTTGTTCGGTATTCGCCAGGCAGATTTGACTTCGTATACTACTGTAGGCGAGAAGGCGATTGTCTGGTGAGAGAGAGGCATCTGTGATGGTCCATTGCCCGCCGTAGTAGTTGGCCGTCTTGTAGTACTTCCAATCGTAAGGGTTGCTCGTGTCATACATACGTACCTTGAAGTCCTGGCCACATGCGAAGAAGAAGCTGCCGTCTTCGGAGAATTGACCAGAATAACATCGCGCGTTGAGATTGATGATAAGATCTGCCTTGGAGCCGGGGATGAGGTCTTGAGAGGCGAGACTGCTGAGAGCTTTGGCACGACCACGGTTTTCAACGCCCATCTCGCGATCGAACATGCGCCTGGCCAGCTTCCTCCGCTTCCGTTGGCTTTCTTGCGAGTACGGCGATCCACAAGCGGTATGCTGACACCTGTCGTTTCTGCCGAATGTGCCGTTTTCCATTAGCTTCTTGCCCTCTTCTGAGGGAATGGCAGGATATCGATCTCCCGCCGCAGTTCTTCTCGCTCGTCTCCTTGATCTGCTCGCCCCGTAGCCCAGATATGACTCCTCGTCGTCTTCCTCCTCGCCATCCGCGCCCAGTTCCACATGCTGCCGCCGTGCCTGCGATCGTGTGGTGACGCCTCCAGGGAAGATGCCGCGGATGCCGGCGTGCGAGAGAAGTTGCAGGATCTGCTGCTGGGTTACTACCGAGTATCAGTGGGACAGTCCTCTGCATCATCGCCACTTACGCGAGTCTGCGTAGCCGAGCTCAATCGCTGTAGCCGACTTGCTGGCCGCTGTGGTGTATGGGACGTACTTGTGATCGTCTGCGGTCTCTGCTGTTGCGGCGTCTGGCTCCCATCTTCTTGCTCTCCGTCCTGCTCTTCCTCTTCCTCTTCCTCTTCAGTACCCATCTCCAGCGTAATCTCATCGCCGTCGGCATCTCGGAACGTCCCCTCCTCGGCATCGAAGTACAGCGTCGTGTCGCCTCCGGCATCGTCCTCCTCATCGTCCTCCTCGGCTGACGGCGTTACTTCACTGCTGGCGAGCTACAGACAGACATTAGCCATCCACATAGACTGCCTCATCTTGCGATAATGCTGCCCAACACCCGCAACGGTCAGCGAGATCGATATCTCACCTCAAAGTCCATGTCGTCATCGTCTTCCTCCGTCTGCCACGACGCTGCCGGCGAGAAGGCATCTCTTGATGCAGACATTCTGTATATATTAGCCAGAAGTCCACAGTCAATTCAATCAATTTGAGTATTGCTTTGATGGGACAAGAAGCAAGTAGTAGAGGTGTAGTCATCCAATGTTTAGTGATGCTGGAGCTATCTCGTGCTTGCTTATCTCCGATCACCGAGGCCTCGCTTAACTTGCCTAAAGTGGTTGCTTCCTACTACGGTTAGAGCGCGTACATATACTTCGCCTCCACGACATTATCTACACCTCCTTTCATTTCAGCGCCACGACACTGGCCGCGAGATCACTCAACGAACGACTTTCAAGAAGCTGGGAGATGCTAATGTCCGCTCGGGCGCTCGATGTGAGCCAACTTCGCCGCTCCACCGCCACCAACCAATCCACTCCCATTTTCAAGGCGCCGGCTGGGTCGATCTCAGACTGAGGGAGAGCAAACATGTCTGTCAGTTTGGATACCAGCGCCTCGATGACCAGTGTGGCGGTCTGTTGAGAGGGTTCGGCGCCCGCTATCTGCTCGCTCAGAGGAATCGCGGCAACGGGATTTTGAGCTGTGCATGAGAGCCTCACCCGTTCTTCTGCACATGGAAACCCAGGCCTTGGTATGTTCTGCGTTCGAGATCAAGTTGGCATTCGAAGTGTTGGTGTTGCCGCGGCGTAGGAGGGCCGCAGTGGTTGAGCTCGAGACGAATGTCAGCCTCAGCGCAACTCCTGCCCCACGGAGACCACATCGGCTCGCTGGTGACGCAACCTACGTTATTGCTGGAGGATTTTGCAGGCTCAGAAGACAGATGATATCTTGGATGTCGGCACGTGGAGCACGCAGTTTCAATGTGCCTGCCAGGCCAGGCTCGGCGACCCAAGCGGCCAAGGAGCTCATCGAGTCCATGAAGGAGCATGGAATCCGCGTATTGTGCTGCCGATTGCAAGCGTCGAAAAGGAACAGATACTTACTCCTTAGGCCAGTGAGCTTACTAGCGTTCGTCCTCGAGGCTGAGGTCCTACAAAAGCATCATACCACTGCAGTAAACGCAGGAGGTATGGATGAGGTTGTCCAGGTTTTGGCTTCATGAACCTCAATGATAGTTCCTATGCGAATGGCTAGCTTTTAGAGGATAGACGAAGTATTCAGGCCAATCCTGTTTGACAGATTGCAATCGTGGATCGTTGTGAAAGCTGCCTGCCACTAATATGACCCCCGCGATCACACTGCGAAGAATTCCGCGATTCGAACGGTCAGAGAACATGCTTCATCTCCTTCTTCCTCCCCTTTGCAGCGGTCAGCCCTATCGACGCTAATGCTGACAATCGAGAACCCGGTGGCGCAAGTAAAACTTGTAACGGAATACATGTGAGCTTGGCCAGGCCTGTCTTTGCTTTGTCTGCTGCTGCCTCGTGCTTCTCTTCATGTTCGCCACGACCTCTCAATCGTCAACCTCCAATATGGCGACCGCTACGTCGGTTTCGACAATTGGCTTCGCAGCTCTAGCTGTCACAATCATCGGCTACATTTGCTATCGAGCAATGCTACCACGTCCATTGCCCGGCATTCCCTATAACAAGAAGTCGGCCCAACGTATTCTCGGAGATGCCGTCGACTTGCTCCAACATAAGGTAGAACACGGAGATATCTTCGGCTACCTAGCGAGATTGGCAGAGGAGATGAAAGAGCCAGTCTTTCAAATCTTCGTACAGCCGATAGGAAGGCCTTGGGTCGTTGTTAATGAACCCCGAGAAGCGTACGATATTATGACCCGTAGAGCAAAGGACTTCGATCGATCGAACTTCTTCGGTCAGATCTTCAAACCTATCTTGCCAAAGACACATGGACGTATGCCGACCGGGACCGAGTGGCATGCTCACAGACGGCTAGTGAGTGACACTATGTCTCCGACCTTCTTAGCTGAGGTAGCTGGGCCGCAGATGTGGTACACAATGCGGAGTATGATTGACCTTTGGAGAGAGAGAAGTCACGGCTAGCAGCGGGTCGGCCATTCTCTGCGACAGAAGATGTGCACAATAATACCCTGGATATCATCTGGACTGCTACCTTTCGCGTTAAAATTGGACCAAACAAGACTCGTGCAAAGTTGTTAGCAGACTTGAAGGAAATCGATCTATTGGACATGGACAAGCCTGTAACATTTCCGGAGCCTGGTGATCCTGTTGCCTTCAAATCGATCATTACGCTAGTGAAATCGATGTCTATCCCGGTCAACTCGCCCACCCCTTACCTTTCGCATTGGCTGGCTCTTAATATGCGCCCCAGCCTGATAAGTGCTCGCAGAACTAAGGACAACCTGATTTTCAGCAAGTCAAGGGATGCAAGCGAGAAGTTCTCCGAACAGAAGGATGCGAGCGAGGAGAACTCCGACCAGAGAGACAGCGACGTTGAAGCCATGGTCGGGTTGAAGTGCGCCCTTGAGCTGGTGGTGGCGAAGGAAATAAGGATGGCGCAGAAGCAGGGCCGACGACCCGAGCTCTTTAGCCAGGCTATCCAAGATGAACTTTTTACGTTCCTTATTGCAGGCGGAGATTCAAGTTCAACGACATTCTGCTGGGCAATCAAATTCTTCACGGCAGATCAAGAGCTCCAGTCTAAATTTCGCCGCGTTTTAAAGAGCAGCTTCAAACGAGCGGCTGAAGACAACGATCTGCCAACTATTGAAGAGATTACTAGTACTTCGATTCCATATCTCGACGGTGTCATAGAGGAATGCCCGCGACTCGGACTCATTGGTCCAGCGACTGTTCGCAAAGCCTTGAGAGATACCACGATCCTCGGGTACTACATTCCTGAAGGAACGGGTGTCTTTCTCTGCAACAACGGACCTGGCTTTTTGACGGAATATTTACCTGTCGACGAGTACAAACGCAGTCAAAGTAGCCAAGATGGTAAGACCAAGATTCCAGCATGGAAGAATGATCCCTCCAAGTTCAATCCAGAGCGCTGGCTGGATAAAGATGGGAACTTCCATCAACACGCTGGCCCGACCAACGCATTCGGTGCAGGACCTCGAAGTTGCTTTGGTGAGTGCAAGATAGGTGCTGCTGCCTTGATCAAAACAGAAATGCTGACCAGATTGTCCCAGGCCGAAAGTGGGCACACCTGGAGCTTCGAATCATGCTGGTTCTTGTTATCTGGAACTTTGAGCTTCTGCCAACTCCTCCGGCGCTTTCATCCTTCAAAGCTGTGGACGGATTGACACATTCTCCACAACAGTGCTACACCAGGCTCAAGGCTTTGTCTTGAAAGCAAAATGCACGGTCACAGCTTTCGATGGCGGATGCAATTTCTGCTGAACCGACCGCCGGCCATGCTGGGCTCCACGACGAAGCCATCGTCTCGTGAGATTTTGAAGGCTAGAGAGTGTATGCAGCGAGTCCCCTCGCTTGGTTTTCATTTACTAGTCTTCAGGGCAAAGGCAATTCGATACTGTCTTCAAGGGCCCTTGCCTAATCCCATCATCCAAAACCTTCCATCTGACAGGAAACAACATCTAGCGGTCTGGTCTGCGCTTGTGCGAAATCCATTGCCTCGCCGTCAAAAAACATTTAACAAAAGCAATTATTGACGATACTCCACGAGCATCCATTGACGGTGTTGTCTTTGTTTGTTTCCTCACCCCTCGCCCCGACTTCTCCATCCCTTTCAAGTTCACTCGCTTAGTGCTTTCCGTTGCCGTATAGTGCAGCTTTCGCCATCTCTCGAGCATTCTTCTGCTCCCTCAGGACCTCCTCATACCGCATAATCGCATTGTACTTGCCAAACTCTTTGTCGTCGAGCGTGATGGTCTCGGCAGCCCTCAAGTGCTCCAACTCCTCGAGCATGTCGCTGAGCGCCTTTTCGCGGATGTTGGTCTGGTCAAGGTGAGGGTACCAGTTCTCTTGGGCGCTGAGACGCTTCTCCCTGCCGTCGCGAGTGGTCTCCTCCTCGAGAAGCTGCTTAGATGATTTGATAGCACCATTCTCAAAGACGTGGACGACCTTGGAGCCGTTGGCAGCGCCTGAGAGCTCGAGCGACACAGACTTGCGCATCTCGAAGGGGTCCGACTTTGGTAGTTGGAGAACAAGCTCGCTGTAACATAGTGATCAGCAACATCCATTGGAGAGAGATGCTCACGTACTCCTGCAGTCGAAATTCCATGAATCGACCCAGCTTCAAGATCTGAGTCAATCGTAAGTCTGCGTTCTCTTTGCACCAGCAGTCTCTTCCTCACCTCTGACTTCGTGATTGTAACGATGCTGCCGACATTTCCAGCCTTTGCTCGTGCCAATCCTTGGCTCGCGAAGCGCTCGAAGACCTTGCGAGTCGTAAGAGCAACAAGTCGGGCAGAGAGGTGCGACATGTTGATTAGTTGCTTGGTCGTTTGTTGTTAAGTGAAGACGGACGAAGATGAAGAGATGGAGATCTTCCAGCTGGCGCCCTGCGATGCTTTGAGTTTGTGAAGAAACAGCAGCGGCAACAAGACTTCAAACGGGCTTTTGGCAGGAAGGTGGCGAATATTCACTCGACGCAGCATGACGCCCGAGATCCGACAACGCCTTTTCAGCTCGTGAATATGTGAAGAGTCTTTTGTTCACAGATCTTGTTTATTTACGCAAGTAATGTGTGAATCTACTTCGCACCAAACCGACTCAACTCCTGCTCATCTAGACCAGGCTGTGAAAGGAGACGGCAGCAGTCAGAAAACTTAACGCTGCGAGAGCCTTCGTTGACCAAATTCACGCGGAGAAGGCCAATCTTGACGTCTTTGGACCATCAAGACGACACACCTGACTCACCGATATTGAACGACATCACAGATGTGCAATATCTCAAGGAATGACAGCCATATCATTCTGGAGCACCCTTGGCACGACCTCCGTACGATAATTTCTAAGCTTGTCTTGCTATAAGTTCAAGTTAGCAGAAAAGAGCGTACGATAATCATCAGGGACGGGTCCAGAGACAAAGTAGGCCCGGAGGAGCGGCGTCGATAGCTGCACCAAGGTCAGATGGCCTCTACTCTAAAGAGCAAGGCTTGAGCTTATTATAGTCAGAACATGCCGCGTCGCTGATATCGCATGATTCGTTGATGACTACTTTGCAAAGTTTGTGCTGAAAGTTCCATTGCTGAATGCCAAGAAAGCCAGGAGAGGTGAGTGAATGGTCCCCAGCCCACACTCTCACAAATGCTTGGCTCTCGATTCAAATTCGCAGCACTTGCATTCCTGCATGACACCCTGGTGAATTTACCCAGCGGATCATTTGAACGGTCGTTTTCTAATATATCAACTGTTTGCCTTACGACGCCGGACCTCACAAGTCAAGATGGGGTGCTCCAACTCTGTTCCTGAATCTGATCAATGCCAAAATGAGTGCTCACGCCGGCGACAAAGGCCCCTTTACGAGTTGGTTCATATCGTGTACCGGCCGGTAAAGCGGTCTCCTACTGCACTCCTTCAAATGCCGGATGAGCTACTGGAGATGATCGCCCAATACATGAGCTTGGACGACCTTGGGGCATGGCGACTGGCATGTCGAAAGTTTGAGTCCAGCTCATCCCATCTCTTCCAGAAAAGATACGTAAAGACCAGGCGGGTCTTGCTTTTTAGCATTTAAAGCTTGAACAAGGCGCTGCAGGTGGCACAGCATCCAGGCTTAGGATCTCAAATCAAGAAGCTGGTCATTGACATTAACCAAATGGTTGGAGCGGACACAGTCGTCGCAAAATCACAAAGAAAGTGGCACGTCGTGGGAATCCCCTGACAGCGCAAACGACGCTTTCATCAGGTCTTGGAGAGCTGACTTTGTATTCCCCATCGGATGCAAGACGGCTTCTGCTGTTTATTTTCGCAAGTCTAAGGCCATATCGGAAACTGCATGAGATACAGTTCGTGAACGGACTTGATATCGGCAATATCAGCAACACCAGTGGAAGCTGGAGATCAATTTTTGTGCGCTCCAGAGAAACTATACCAACTCCTATCGCTTTCAGCGCGAGGACCGTTGACATGGTGATCGAAGCCATCAAAGATGCCGAATTGAACACGATCCAAGTCCTTGATGTAACGGCTACTCAGGGCGTCTTATTCAGTCAATGGTATAATCTCAAGTGCCTGCGACCATATACATCATTCAAAGCCTTGGGATTCGTCTCACTACGAATGGAGCCATTGGAATGTGGCTTTCCTCCCATGCCAACTTGCCGGCTTGAGGACCTCATTTCGCGGATGCTGGCTAGGTTGCCACGACTGGAACACCTGTTCATCGCAACAACTTCATGCTCGCGGGGATGCTGTCGCGACGACGGCACAAGCTTGGATATAGCCATGTTCTTATTCCTGACGGGGCGCACATTTCGCCGTCTAGTGTCTCTTGGCGTAGAAGGCTCCCAGGTCTATGCCGAGAGCTTGTCGGGTTTCGTACGCAAGAACAAAAGACTTCGCCGTCTGGAATTTCGCAAATGTTGTCTGATGGACGGAAAGGAGGAGAGTGCCTGCGCTGCTATCAAAGCTGGTACCGGCCTCGATGATGTGCAGACAGACATGTTCATGGAGAAGATGTACCGGGAGTCTTAGGGGCATCCCCAACAGATGCTGCCAGCCTCTAACAAGCTTCGATGATACAATTCGGCTCTGAGTGTAACTATAGGGTAATGCGAGCCTATTGGATACTTAGTGTTAGGCCAGACGATACTGGAGTATTTGAGAAGGTCCCAGAAGTCGTTGGCGGCTTTGTTCTGACAATCTGCCATCTCTTCATTCTTTTCCTCATGGCTCGGCAAAACATGAAAGACGCAACATTTCACTTCTATGCCTCTGGGCGGGTTGCATTCTCACCATCTTCGGTGCTTTGGCGGCCTCATCTCTGCAACATTCATGTGCCCCTTTCTATCATGTGAAAGCTCGGCAGCTCACGACGCTAACTGCTAGCGTGAGTCAGTCATGGTCAGGGCGCCGCTCAATCTTGCTTCTCTGGAACTTCCGCTGCTGTCGCAATTTTGACCATGCAACACTAAACAAGTACCGGAAGTATGTCGCTGCTTCATTGACCCATCACCCAGCGCCACAGGTCTCGTCACGATGCCTGCCGCCACGCAAGCGAAACCGAGCTTGGATGCATTGCCGCCGGAGCTAATCGAGGCGATTGCATGCGAACTACCAACTCGAGACATCTTCTCTCTTCAGCTCACCTGCTTTACCATCGCCCGAAGGATTGAACACCACTTCACACGCACCTACTACAGGCATGCGGGGTTTCTTCTCGACAGTCCAAACAGCATCAAAATGGCAATCGACTTCGCAAGGCACCCAGCAGTTGGCCCCGCTCTCCGCGAGATCACCTTCTTCATTGACAAAATCGCCAACCCACACACAACTACTGAGCCTCTCCACATCGAGCCCACTGAGCGACTCATGCTGATGCGCTGGCTGAGAAACCGATTCTGGGAAGATCATCAACCCTTTCTCGACCCCGAGACGCAACGGCAAGACATCGAGGTACTATTGTTGGAGCTCAAGTTGCACGGCAAGCTCAACCGTATCATCTTCGGAGAGCTTCATTCCTCGACGCAGGTTCCCGTGTTCGATAAAGGCGAGGCCGGGCCTTCGATTGCCAACATAGCGGAGGTGATGCGAGACGTCTTGCTCAGACCCGAACTCGCAAACCCCTCGGTCGAACTGGTCTTGGCCGCGATGACTAGGATCGGAATGCCTTCAGTTCAAAGCATCGAGATGGCGGGGCCGCGAGTGATCTGGCTTGCACTCTTGCCACCGTGTCAGCTGAATTTGTACCGACAAGCCTTCGCCTCGCCGAGACGTCTTTGCCTCTATCTATGCGACACTCACCTTGGTGCTGCTACTTCAAATGTGCAGTACTTCACGAGTATGTTGGCGACATTGCCTTCACTCGAAAGCCTCGAGGTCAGGTTGGCTGTGACCCGGAGAGCCATTCGCCCCTCCCGGATAGAGGATTCTCCCGTTTTCGCAGCGCTGATGGAGATGACGCTGCCGGCGATCAAGGTGCTCATGTTCCATTCGGTTGACATGATGTTTGGCACTCTTCTTTCTTTCATCCACCGCCACAAGTCTCTCGAAGGCTTGATACTTACGGCTTGCTTTATGAACTCAGTCTCTTTCCTGTCTGTCATGCAATACCTGCCACGGCTTGACCAGGCAGTTGTGCAATTCACACACCTGGAACATGTCATTACCGACGAACAGACCGAAAAATTCGCAAGCCAAAGTTGAAATTTCTGTGGAAAGGGTACAGATCGAGCTGGATCAACATTGATGGGCGCTGAGTGATTGAGTTGAAGCTTTGCACAAAGAAGATTCTATAAGTGACAGATTGTGGTGGCTTTCATGCGCAAGCAACGGGTGAAGGAGCACAAGCGAGCCATTGGCAGGACTTCTGCACTTTCGTTGTTTCAGTAGAGCATGAATTCTACACTTTTACACTGACACTATGCTTGAATGCTATGCCTTGCCATAGACTTCGTCCAGTGACGAATGTAGAGTCGTCCTGCAATTGGGACTTCGAATTGGAGGTTCAAAAGAAGAACAATTTTCAGATACCTGGACAAAACTGAACGCGGCATGTTAAGAAAGGGGCGGACGCTCGGAGCTCGCTGCATGATACCCAAACAGGAAGCCAGGGGCGAGTGATTGCACAGTTGGAATATGCTGTAGAGTAGGGCGTAGACCCTGAAAGCCATACCACTTTCCCCTATAGACTGTCCAAGCCGAGAGCATAGGCTTTTTATCACCGAAGACGAAGAAGCATGACGAAACAGTGGGTCAAATGCTCCGTCTTCATACCAGTATATACAGTGCCACGAAGAGAGCAATGACAATCCCATTCCACAAAAATCAACGGTATCGAGCCAAACAACACTTTGAACCAGACACAGAAGCGGCTGAAGGACATAAAAGTACTGAGCCAAGGCGAACGACAAGCACACTACAAGTACACTCTCGTCTCATCAAGTGTTGGATATCTACTAACATATGCCAGAGCCACACTCCAAGGCGGAGTAATTGGAGGGTTGGTGGGACTTTCAGCAGGAGCGCTCTGTGTATACCTGGCCTCGCGCTCCTTTCAAGGCTTCCGAAACATCACTCTTGCATGGCGAGGGTATATGATCACTAGTGCTGGGACGTTTGGAGGTCAGTTGCACAGCGCAGTCTTGAAAGGGTTGATCAAAGGCTGATGCTCCAAAACAGCTGTCAAAGCGGCCGACTACTCGTCGCATAGATACGAAGCGCTACATCATCCTGATCGTGCCTACCACCAAAACCTCGATACGTTGCAGAAGGAGCTGTATCGCCAACAACCGCTCTCTCAACGCTTAGGCAACTGGGCAACGAGGAACCAATACTCTGTTGTCTTCGGCTCCTGGGCTGTCTGTTTGGGAGCGTCTTGGAATCTGCTGAATCGTAATCCATACTTGACCAAGCCCCAAAAGCTGGTGCAAGCGAGGGTTTTCGCTCAAGGCTTGACTGTGGCGATGGTGGTCGTTGCGCTTGCGTTGCAGAACCACAGCAAAACTGCAGCTCATGGGTCTGAGCATGGATCAGAAGAGCACTATTCAAAATTGCAAGAGCAATGGAAAGATATGATGGATGCTGAGGAAGAATATCTTGACGAGCAAGGTCTAGAGCACAGAGGTGTGCCGGCTGCTCACCGACGAGCCAGACCGCATTTCTTGGATCAGAGAGATATGAGGCAGAAAGCGACAGATCAGCTCAGGAGATGGCAGGTGGAAGGGGTGCCCGACTCATAGTATAAGTTGGCATGGAGAATACAGACTGAGTACTATATCATCACCTTCACAGATCTCACCACCATTTCTCAGGCACTTTACACAACAATCGTCCCTTCGCTCTTCAGATCTCTTGAGCTGGCGCCAACGTGGACGCCATACGTCCCCTCAGCGATCGCCCACTTCTGCGCTTCTACATCCCAGTAGCTGAGATCCCGTCTTCGAAGTGCAAAAGAGACACTCTGCTCCTCTCCGGGCTGCAGCGTAACCTTCTCGAACCCTCTCAATTGCTTTGGAGGTTGAGAAGCAGCAGTTGGGTAGCTCACATACAGCTGTGCGACTTCAGCGCCAGCAACATCGCCGGTGTTCTTGACAGATGAAGTGACTGTCACAATTTCGTCGAACAGATCCTTCTGTCCGCCCAGCGACAAGACACCGGTGGGATACTTCGACTCAAGTGCGGTCTGGTTCGTGATCTCAATACTGACATTGCCATAGGAGAATGTCGTGTAGGAGAGACCGTATCCGAAGGGATACCGCACGGTAATGTTGTTGGCGTCGAAGTAACGGTAGTCGACGTGCACACTTTCGCTGAACTCGCACTGCGCCGTGTAGCAGACGCTGACAGGGTAATCGCTTTCATTCTTGGCGATGGTGTAGCTGAGTTTGCCGCTCGGATTGACGTCTCCATACAAGACATCCGTAATGGCGTTACCGCTTTCTTGGCCGAGGAGGGAGCCATACACAACGGCAGTGATATTCTCATTCTCGATCCAGTCGTCGACAAGACGGGCGCCAGGAGTATTAATGACGACGATGGTGTTGTTGCAGTTGGAAGCGACTGTGGTGATCATGGTGTCTTGGTCGGTATGATAGAGGACAGTGCGGTCAGCACCCTCGCCAGAAGCTGAGTTGATGAAGACGATGCAGACGGCGGAGTCGGTGGCGTAGTTCTCGTAGGAGGGACTTAGGGCAGTCCCACTGCCACTAATGCTCACGCCACCGCCTCCACCACCGCCCATGCTCATCGAAGAATTCGAGCTTGCACTATCTGTAGCGCCTCCGCCAGCAGAGCTCGAGTTACCACTCATACTGGGCATATTACCCCCGCTCGTGCCTGAGCCTGAGCTTGTGGTAGAAGTGTAGGTATCATTCAAGATGTACCGAATCATGCTTCCATCTGCACGCGCTCGGGCAGAGAGGGCTTCATAAGGAGTGACAGCATAGGTTAGGGAGCCTTGCCCGCTACCACAGTCAGTAGTGAGATGTCCATCATATGGGTCATCCATGCCCATGACGCTGAAGGCGGAGTTGGGACCAGCCATTCCTGGGCCGGCGTGGGCGCCAAACAAGCTGATGACAAGAGGCCTCTGTAGAGGGAGACCGCGTCCGTCGGAGTTCTTGTTTTTGAGTAAGACGAGGGATTCTTGAGCGACTGTACGGATCAACTGTGAGTGATTGGCACGCACATCGCGGTATTCGGTGGTCGCAGCTTCATAAGGCTGGTTGCCATCGTCAAGCTCGGCAAAATAGTAGCCGATGACATTACGGACAGCCATGTCGTCCAGGCGATCTTGCGTGAAGGATCCATTGGCGATGCCAGCCTTGAGGATATCAGAACTCCAGTATAAACTCGAGCCATAATCGACACCAGCATTTGCAGAGCCATACGATGTCGTCTGAGATCCAACATCAGGCAGAACGAGGCCGGGGAAGCCGAGTTCTTCCTTGAGGAGGCCACTGAGGACCTTACTGCTCTCGCAAGACCCTGTGCCGTTAACCGAGTTCATAGCACACATGACAGCACCCATTCCAGCGTGGACACCGTCCGCGAAAGGCCAGAGATAGAGCTCATGCATAGTCTTGTCGTTGGCGTTGCTCGAGTAGACCGCTGTCGTGGATGAAGATAGGCCAGCAGAACGGTTGGTCTCTTGTTCGTTGAGGATAAAATGACGGCCGATAGTAACGACGCCTGCAGAGTTCATGCCCTTCACAGCTTTCTCCATGGCGATGCCGTTGAGGTAAGGGTCAGGTGCGAAGCCCTCAGCGACTCGTCCATCGTAAGGAGTGCGTCCAAAAGGTCCAGCCACAGGTCCGTTGATGACTGCGTCAAGGGTCAGTTGATGTCAGTACACTTTCCAGCAGGCCAAGACCTACGATTGTAACCCATAAGGTAGAACTCTCGTCCACTGGCCTTTGCCTCGGCTTCAAAGTGCTCTCGACTCCACGTCATAGCAAGGGCACCGCCGATAGGAAAGGCAGAGACATAGTACTGCTGGTTGATGCCGGCAAAACTATCCTTGTTGGTGAGTGCAGTCCAAGATACACTGCTGTTAGATGAGTTGGAGGACACGCTGCCTCCTGTGATGATCGAGATCTTCTGGGTGTTGGTAAGTTGTGCAATAAAGGCCTTCGCTTTGTCGTATGCTGCTTGGTAGTCGCCCAGGTCAACGGTCCCAGACGAAAGAAGAGAAGGCGATGACGAGTTGGTTGCAGAGGACACACCAAGCAGCGTGAAGGCAATCGCCAACTTGCCGAAGGCTTTCATCGTGAAGCACGCCAAAGAGCAGAAACGAGCGACCAAAAGAGTGCCGACAGAATGCGGGAAGGATACAACCGCTCATGTCTCACCTGGTATATGTATACTCCTGTCGAGGCAGTCCTAGAGCCGCGTGGTCCATCGTATGGAGATGCCGCAGACTCTTCCGTCGGCCTTCGAAACCATTCGAAAGCTCCTGAAGTCTGACGATTGTCTTCTAGCCAGGCACGATATGGTTAAACCAGAACCGGCAACACACCGGAATCGCCCATCTCCACGTACACTACCTGTGTAGCGGAAGGCGAAGACCACACACAAGCACGATGGTGAATCTGCTGTTGTATTGCTTGCTTGGACTACAGCATCGCTTCTTGCCATGGAAGATGGCGCATCAGTGACTTCCATCGAGGTGTCTGTCCTACATGGTCCTTCAATGGTCCTGTCGAGGCAAGGAGATGAAGTTGCAGAAGTTTGAGCTGACGACGCGCGGAAAAGATTGAGCAGACGTCGTCGGCGCTGACGCACGCACCGTCGTCTTAGGGCTTCGGTGATTTCCAACCGAGATAAGATGGAAACAATCCGTGTCAATATGGGAGAACTCGACGATACATTCTTTCCCTTTCTTCGATCGTTCTTGGACATCTTTCAGAAGAGTCCTCCACGCCGCGGCGGTGATATGTGCCTGCTCGGAGCTGCCGCTGGTGGGCTGAGGCAAGGCTCTGATATCCTCTCTCGTGTCTCGCCAATCCCGCCTCTTCGACCATCCAATTTCATCTTCGAGAACGAAGACACCGCGGGAGTCTTCGATTCATGCATCCCGAGTCGCCAGAAGAGGGCCATCAGCCAAGACTCCAAAAAGAGGCTATGAACGAGGCGGATTTCGACGAATGCCTTGGCTTGGGAGGTCGACAAAAGCGTTCTCTGAACAGACACCGAGTCACGTTTCTTTCGCCTGTGTCTCCTCTTGACGATCTGCTCTCGATATGAACAGTTCGACAATAGGCTGCAGCTCCTGGGCGTTGGTTCGGGGAGGCAAACCCATATTAATATGCACAACTTGTCTGTCTGCATTAGGCACGTTGCATGGACGGAGTTGCTCGGGGCGCCTCGAGCAGCCGCTTATGTGGCCGACATGGACAAGATGAGAGAAACATGTGCAGCTCTCCTGCATCTCACCCCGGCGCCTCGAGCATAAAGTGAGAGGAGAACACTTCGGGCCCGCACCGAGCCGGGGAGCAGCTGCAACGTTAAAACTCGGCCAAACCCACGCCGCCTGAATCTTAAATCGCCCTTCTCCTCCTCCGCCCCAACTTCACTTCCTCCATCCTCGCACCATGGACATCCTCTTCCCTGACAAGAAGTCGCAGACGTCTGCGCCCTCCTCGACAAACGACTCCCCGGCCTCCACCTTCGACAAGAACATCTCCAGCTGGCTGTCTTCCACCAGCTCGTCGGGAACGTCCTCGGTAACGTCGCCGTCAGCTGACTCGAACACTTCTCCGACCACCGCCGACACACTCATCTCCCTGTTGATGGACTACGTCTCCGCGGCGAACAACCGTACCTGGACCGATTTCGATGGTCTGGAACAATACTTCCATCCGTCTTTCACCACTGAATGCCGATTTACCTCCAAGTTGCAGACGTTTCCCGAAGGCATCAAGACCCTGCAGGACCTTGTGGAGATCTCGCCAACTTTTCACATCAAGTTACACGAGGCTTCGGCCAAGATCGACGAGCCCACGAGAACTGCTTTTGTCTTCATCCATTCTGACTGGGTTGGCGCTCCGCCCGGGAATACGACCCAGAGCATGCAAGTCTTCGAGTGGAGATTCGTGGATGGAATGTGGCTCTGCTATCGCTCGAACGTTATGAGAGGTATCGATGAAGTTGTATGAGAATTATGCGATACCCTACGGTCTTTGCAACTTGCTGAAAACCGCGAACGATCCGGGGACCTTCGCACGGACTTTCATCATGGCTAGCACCTGGAAGCACTCTCTCGTTCGTGGCTCTTCGAAAGCTTCCCGGACAGCTTCGCAATCAAATCTACTGCCTCTGTCTGCTCGAATACGGCATGGTTGTTGTGTCTATTAGCCACCGCATGGACAGTGGTTCAAGAACCCATCATCCTCAAGACGTGTCGCCAGATCAGATCAGAGGCGCTGTCAATATACTGTAGCGAGAGCGTCTTCTCCTGTATGTTGATTGGAGAAAATATCACACACGCCTAGAAGACTGCCTGCAAGCCATCGGTCCATGCCGAGCTTCGATGATCAAGAAGTTTATCCACACCAGAAACGAATGCAGATTGCGATCTGCTCGGCTTAGCTTGCGGCTTCTCCAACACCATTTGGGCCCGAACACGTTTACGCAAGCCTGTGTACAACAGCACGTACCGCATCTGCAACTGTTGACTGCGTTGGGATTGGATCTCGATGTCTTGAGTGACTGAGTACTTCCACAATTACCTCGGCGCCTGACCTTGTACAGGTGTTCCACCGGCATCTCATCAATCTGGCGATCTGCACGATACGCGGGAAGAATCATATGAAAACTGATACGTTCCTGGAGGCAATTCATCTGCCATGGTGGTGACTCCCATTGATGGTGAGAGGGCATCACTGGGCGGGTGTCTTCAATGTGCTGCCTTTGTGGCCAAGGCTTTGTTGGGCCAGCATGTGGCCCTTGAGAGGTCTTTGAAAATAGCTACCAAACAAACTCAGCACATTGCTTTATCTGCTCCGAGTGTGTTCTCCTTGTCTCATCTTGCTGCTTTGTCCTCAGAACCACTCTCGCATGGAGATCGAGCCTGCGTAAAGGCGTCAAGCAAGCTCATGGATTCCTTCCACACAGTGAAGCTTGGGGTTTCGTGCTGAATAGCGACGAAGTCTTACGTACCCTTCTCGCGAACGCATTCCTGTTCTTACCTGCAAGGGCAACAGGTAATGCTGTGCCTGTCTGCCTCGAGCTACTTCTGCTTATACCGATCGAGCAAAGATTATACACCACTCGCGGCTGAGCTTGCTATGTATACATCCTGGACGTTGATCAGTGGCATGCCGCTGCTGAATTTTCCTCGAACGTTGTCGCTGTACAGGCGTTAAAGATCCGCCCGAGAAGGCGCCGTCATTCACTTACTTTTGAGTCACGGGATGTCCCCGTGATGGCCGCGCCGCGCCGTCTTTTGAAATTGCCTCGACTTCGAGGCTGCTCTGCCGCCGATCACCGCTACTGGACAGTTCGCAACTCTTCTTAGCGACAGCAACAGCTCTGGCTTCGTCTATCCTCTCGTCAAAAATCCATCAATAGACCCCTCAACCCATGAGCAAGATGTCTGCCGACCTCAAGACACTCTTGTCGCTCCCCGCTGAGATCTGCGAACTAACAGCCAACTGCCTCGAAGCCTCCGACCTGCTCACATTTCGTAGTCTATGCAAAGAAATCGAGGCCAAGACATACAGAGTCTTCTCGAGCACTTGCTTTGGACGTCGTACCCTGCGGCTCTCCTCAGGGCAAAGCCTTCGCCATAACCTCATGGTCCTCGGGCTTCCCACCTTGGGCCCCATGATTCGAACCGTCATCATCTCTGAGGACAAACATCAGCCAGGGGCGATCAGCCGAGCTGCTCTCAGTGCAGCAGTTCTCCAGAAAAGCAGAGTCGACTTCAGGCTTTTGCGAAGGTACTTCCGCCAGCTTCGCCATCTCGGACTCCAGGTCAAAGTCGTCGTCCCTGCACGTCGTGGAAGTGGAGTACATCGGAAAGATATGGCAGCCTTGCGAAATTTCTTCGCTCCCTCGGCCGACGACTGCACGGGCTTCAACACAATTCTCGAAGCAATGACCTCAGCAGGCTATGCGACACTTCTCCATCGATGGCGACGTTCCGTCCGACCATGCGTGGCACCTACCAGTCCACAAATTGATCGAAACCAACGGTCTCGGTCTATTGCACAAGGTTTTCACGTCTGTGGAGTCCTTAACGCTGGACGTTTGGGTCGAGGACGAAGGGCTCCTCACTTCGACCACCCCTTTCTTCGCTTGCATCGCCTCGCTACCCAGCCTGCGAAGCCTGACCATCTATGGACAACACCGCCACTATGAGTCACTGAAAGGCTTTGACGTCGACGCTTATGCGATTGCAGAAGTTCTCCTCCAGCAGGACTTCCCTCGCCTAAGGGTATTGAAGCTGTGGGGATGCGTCGTGTTCGTCGATTTACTTGTCGACTTTCTGCGTCGTCATCGGCAGGACCACAGGTCGGAAGAGTTCCAGATGGGTCGGCTGGATTGGGAGTGGGATGACTTCGATGAAGAGTTCGATCGTGGAAATGAGGCGGAGATGAGCAATGAAACCCTACAGACGCTGACCGGAGTACGAGTCGAGTACTTCAAAGAAGGATAGATTTGGGCAATTGTCGGCGGCTAGAAAGGCTACAAGGAATGGTCTGGCCAGAGCGAAGCGAGCAATATTTTTGTACAATGAGAGAGTCGAGCTTTGGAGATCGATCTTGGTAGCGAAGGCTTTGGAAGTGAAGCTTGGTATGCGAAGATACAAAGCCGCAGAAATTCAGTCTACTGTATAGCATCCCTGCCTCTCTGTATCAGATCGAAGCCACAATGATCAAAAGTGCGACCAACTGTCACTTTCTGATCTTACAGGTCGTGAAAAAGTCTTTTAGTGAGTAAATGCATAAGAATTATGCTCTTTACACGAACGCGGCTCGTCGTCACAATTCAGCGTCCTACCTTCTACAGCCTCTCTGTGCATCGGACGGACATTTGACTTATTAAGCTTGCCAGCGTCTCGATACGTCCTAGTTGTTCAAACCCTTGCTAGGAGCAAGTATGGAATTCAGATTATCCTTCCGATGCACGGAGAGGCTGTATTTATACTGAGCTGACAAATGCTCGACTTGCAGCTGACCAATGCTCGGCCAACGAGGGCAATACTAAACTTGTGCTGAACGACAGCGCTGTGTTCACCAGAATAAGTTCACCAGAATAGGTTCCCAATGCGATCGCAAAGCTAACAGCAAGAGATCACAGAATGTCTACCACCCATCCGCAATTTCTGATTAAACGCCGCACTGGAAGTACACCAGAGGAATTCTCAAATCGTTGGTTCAGCCACGGCCATCTAGTGCTTCCATGGCAGCTGTCGAATGGCGTACAGTACTACGCACAGGTTCGTAACCCTCATTCTCTCTGCTGTCCCATCGCTACTCCTGCTTAGGCAAGAACAGATTCATCGACCCGTCTGGGCCTCTTCCGAGGCGGCCGCCTCGAATCCTGGCGTGGATCTGTCCGACTGGGACGGCGCTGCAGAGATGGTCTTCCGGGAACATACAGATCTGGCGACCGCCACGGCAGGGGCACGGTACTTCGAAGACGTCATCGTCAAAGACGAGCTGGAGTTTCTGCATAGCAAATCAACTAGCCATGCGAAAGCAGTCGGTGGCGGCAGCATCTCTGGCGATCGTGTAGAGTTCATAAAGGATGGGAAACCTTTGGTGGAATTTGAGAAATGGCAGGAGCTCTATGAGCAATTGGAAGGCACTTCGGACCAGAAGTAGGGCCCTATCCTCGATTCGCAGTATATGTAGGACTTAGCCGCCTTTTGTGAACGACGATCGTTCCCTGATGGCCTTTCCGTATCGGATGAAGCAGAATGGAAACGGAACACAAGCCAGAGCTACGAATCCAAGGAGCGTACTCGCCCAGCCAATGCCTAGATTTTCAAACACTAACCATCATAGTCAGCGTACATAATGTTGGAGGGCCATGAGATATTTGACTGACTTTGCACCCCAAAAAGTGGGAAAGACCCGGCAAAGACGAGTCTGGTGAATGCATTCGCGCCGAGGGCTGAAGCTGCGTAAAGCGGGTAAGATTCGACGAGGAACGACCAGACGCCCATGAAGATACAGACACCACTATATCAAGTTAAGACATATATCAATGGATGACAGCGACAATGCGGTGCACTTACCCAACTCCAAATAGAGCACTTGCTATGATCGGCACGATCCAGTGGATGTCCTCTCTGCAAGTCCACCCAAACCAGAACAACGAGATGGGAAGTAAAGGAGCTCCGAACGCTACGCTAAAGAGGTTGAATTCTGGCTCAGCAATGCCGTTGTTCCTCGCAGTCTTGATCCTTGACAGTCGAAACCAGAATGGGAAGGCAATAGCACCGAGTATGGCTCCGACTCCAATGCCCAAGAAGGATAGACCGACTCCAGACGGTTTGAATGCGTAGACTTTTGTGAATGCGTAGCCGAAGGCGCCGAACAGTAGGTACTGGACACCGAGGAGAACGGCTGTCAGAAGGCTTAGACAGAGGACCATGTACTCCAGCGTGAGCAGTTGAAAAGGGCGGTAGCAGCTTGTCAAAATGCTAGAAAATATGCTCTTCTGCTTTCGAGTATCCTCTTGGGTGTCACTCCCTTTCTGCGCCGCTCTTTGTTCCATCTCGAGTATCTTCGGGGCGTAGGTCTCGGGGATGAATACGAATAGGGCCAAGATGGTGCCTGACCAGATCATGAGTACCCAGAAGACCCATCGCCTTTAGGCAAGAGTCAACAGTGTATGCATAGCTTTGCAGAACATACGCACCAATGGTAGTACTGGTCGATGAAGCCACCCAGGATTGGGCCGATGTCAGGACCTAGGAACGACATCAATGTGTAGATGAGCATTGGCGGACCGAGATCACGAGGCGCAAATCTGCCGTTCGTCAGACTGTTTCGTCCACCGATATATGCAGGCTATAGTTACAGATCTCCGACAACGCCCCCCGAGACTGTGAGAAACGCAGAGCCCGCCATACCGGAGAACCACCGTCCAACAAGCTCTGTGGCAATGTTCGGCGCCACAGCGCAAGGAATCTATGAAGTTCAATCTTAGTATCATTCTCGCTGCACGATGATCTCGTGCTGCAAGAGACTCACGTTCCATACGATGTACATTATCAGAGATACCAGGCAGATAGGCTTTCTGCCAAAGAACTATCGAGTTCGTCAACAAAGTATTTGTTTCGCTCGTCCTCGTCACAGTCACATACTTCAGAAAGAGGAGCGACGAACAGTGGACCGAATCCTATCGCCAGAGTCTGTCGATGATCAGCGGCCAGTAGTATCAAACTAAACTTGAAAGCCAAACTCACGTAAAGAGTCAAACCAAGTGTCGCCACCTCTCTCGAGACATGCAGCTCAGGCTGAAGATGATCGTACCTGACCAAAGATGAGCAAAGACTTGAAGCTCGACAAGGGTCACTGGCTCACGTCAGGGTATAGATGCTTGAACCACATGTCCTGGTCACCGTCAGCCTCTTCCTAAAATGTGTTGGGCCAGGGCTGTGAGACTGACACAGCCAACGCCATTGAGGACTCGATAATAACGATTGCCCACTTTCGCCATTTCGGCATCAATCTTGGATCTCGTCGTGGCCGAAGAATGGATGCAGCAGATGCTTGGGTAGGCTGCGTGCCCATTGCCAATTTCTGTCCTCTCGAATGAGGTCGGCCGGGTTTGTGAAAATGGCCTACAACAACGACTGACCCCGGCACAGCCATCTCAATGAATTATCATTTAGAATCACCCTTCCCGAGTCACTATCGTTTGTCATCTGCACGTGGAGCTATGTGCGGGGATGCAGCGGGCTGCGGCGGAAATCGCGGGCTGCCGATCAGGCTGCGGCATTCGGTCGCATTGCATGTGATGATATCATGGAGCTGTCCAATCAGACCGCAGGATGCAGGGTTTTCTCGGTGCTATATCGGGAAAGTGCTGAATATCAGTTGATACATGGCCTGTGGAACGATCACTGCCTCCAGGTCATTCGTTACCATCGGCTGTAGGCCGATTTGTCGCACGACCGAGTTTTGGATATTCCCCGATACTGTACGTTCTTAACACTAGACCGCAAGAAGACTTGATTCGTCATCACTGCGCACTTCCTTATGGACCTATTGAAATCAGCAGAGTATCGCGCCCATGTCCACAAGCTGCTGGAAAGATGGCACGTCCCGGGCGTGGCGATCGCGACTCTTCAAGACGGCGAGTTCTATTCTGCCGCTGTTGGCAAAGCCTCATTGAGTCCGCCAAAACCATGTACACCCGAAACCCTTTTCAACGTGGCATCGGCTTCAAAGTCGTTGACAGCGGCATCTGTGGCGCTTCTCGTGGAGGATGAGAGGTTTCCGAATGTCAAATACGAGGCCTTGCTGTCGGAAGTGTTAGCAGAGGATTTTGAAATGCCACCTGGCCATCCAGACTTGGTGACGATTGAGGATATGCTCAGTCACAGAACTGGCATTGCAGCGTGAGTTGTGCCCGGCACTATATTTTCTACGCGAGAGCGTTGCTGACGAGGGAGATCTGATCACGCTCTTCTAAACACCGACACTCCCCAATCCATTACTCGAAATGTTCGAAATCTACCGGTTGCCGCCCCTATACGAACCACGCATATCTACTGCAACCAAATGTACATTGTGGCGTCTTTCCTCGTCGAGAAGCTCACCGGCCAGGATTTCGCCGGCTTTCTCAAGCAACACTTCTTCGATCCACTGCACATGACCTCAACAACCCTCCAACCCAGCCGCGCCCGTGCGAACGGTTGGTCAGACAGGCTAGCGGGCGCATATACATGGGACAAGTCCAAACAGGAATACTACGAGTTCGAGTCGCCAGATCAATCGGCCGAGCAAGGCGCCACAGGCATCGTCACCTGCGCAAACGATTATATTAAGTGGGTGAAGGCAATGATTGACCGTGAAAGCCCCATAAGCGAGAACGTCTATAAAGGTCTCATCAAGCCGCGAAGTCTGCGAGATCCGGACGCGGGCGAAGACGACTTGGATCCACACACCTCATTCTCTGCTTATGCAGCTGGATGGCATATAGCGTACTATCGCGGATCCAAGATAGTCAAGCATTATGGACTGACAGAGGGGGCGGCATCGGCGGTGTTCTTCTTGCCAGGTGAAAGATTTGGAGTAGTTGTCTTCGGCAATTCGGACCAAGCATACCATGCCACGCACATAATCATACGGGAACTGGTCGATGAAGTGCTCAATGTCGCCGCAGAGGAGCGCGATTACTGGCGGGCGAAAGAAGAAGAATTGGAAGAGGCAGAGTCAGAGTCAGATTTGGACTCGCTTGACGTGGATCTGAAAGAAAGCCTTGAGATGGAGCTGGAAGTATACACGGGGACGTATTGGAATCCTGGTTACGGTTGCGTGACGCTGGAGGTCAAGGATGGGAAGTTGTTCGTGGACGCATCGAACCGGTCGTCCGCATTCACGTTGACTCTGGAGCATATCCGACGGCAAACCACTTTCATAGCATATTTGGCAGATTACTATCGAGGCGAGGGAGACGAGATTCGTGCAGAGTTCCAGATCGAGAAAGATCGAGCGGTAAGATTTGGGCTGAAACTAGACGGCTCAATAGATCAAATGATCTGGTTTGATAAGACACAAGAGTAGTCTAAACGTATCAAGAGTGAAGCAGTACTGAGACTGGAATGCCCGAATTTCGTCCCACAACTGCTTACATCACGACTCTACTGTAGAGACTCCAACGTAGAACTTTCACCAAGTCTCCAGGCTAATTGTCGGATTGACTTCTGGCGAGATCCGCAGAGACGTTAGATTCCAGGCTTCTCCTTTAATTCTGTCGATCTCACATCGATGTTGTTTCCATCCTACGACAAGCGTTAGGTTTCAGCTCTTAATAGTCGAAACTGGCATGCCGTCAACTTACCAAGATAGGATTGTCGTGGACCGGGTTGGTATTAGGGATGGGGTTTGAGATAGCATTGCCTGCTAGGTCCGGAAGCTTGTTTGGGAGATTGTTGTTCCCAATATTGCCGATGGAAATGCCTTGCTTTATAGTTAGCAATGTACGACTGTAAAGAGGATGCAGAAGTAACAACCTTGAGCGTCCGGGAACGGCCTTGCCGAAGCATTAAGAAAGAAGAGGAAGTAACAGAGCGCGAATTCACGGCTAGGCCTAATCATCTTGGCTGCTCGCTCGACAAAAGATGTCCGAGTACTTGCTATCCTATGATCTTAACGATACTTATATGTCCGTTTGGAAGCTGTGCGATCTCGGCAACATCACTCGTGGTCAACATGTTCCATGCTGACAATCTCGAGCGTTCAAATCGCTGGATCCCCCGTCATGTGCTCTCATAATTACTCACTTCTACAGAGACATGTGAACCTGATACGTATCCCAAAGTGTGCGGCCTCAGGGACTGCAGTACGCATGTCTTTAGATTCTGTTATGGGGATGAGCCCTCTTCTTCTCCTTCTGCAGATGCTGAAAAACTCTTTCCGCCACCTCATACCTATACAACCAAGCTCCATGGATGATAGCCTGGTATTTGCTGTCACTTTACAAGCAAGCCACAGTGTTCCGACGCTCCCCTTGAGTACACGTCCACGACCATTATTAGATCCTACTGGCGTACTCGAATATGAGCCATACACCCACAACTACTGGCAGCAGCGACAAAAAATGATTGCCAGCGGTTCTGAATTGCCGCATCGGGAACATTGTCCGCGGACAGATCGCAGAGTGTAACAGAACCGTCCTAGTCTCAGTGCACAGACCATCCTCGCTAAGCCGGCTAATAGGGACAAGCCCAGCCGCATTAACTGCGGTAGTCTAAGGGTCCTAGTTAGGGTTTTAGCTAATAAGGTGTAGCTTCGTAGTAAAATAACGCGTATATAAGAGCGCGCCTTACTTTAGGCGATTCTATAATATAGGTATATCTAAAGTAAAATTAGAAAATTGGACTCTATTAGTTTATATATTTAGATATACTAATTAACGCTATATACTTAGTTTTTTCCTAATAGTAATACTTATTAAAAAGAACTAGTCTTAGTATAATAGCTAAAATAATTAGCTTTATATAGTAGAATAAACCTAAGTAGAGTACTATTAATACTATAGTAATACTAATAATATATATAGATTCTAAAAGCCTAATATTAACTAAAGAACAAAATAGAGCTCTTTTTTTAATATATAACTAGATATACTTAGCGTAACTATCTAAAGTAAGTATATTTATTAACTATTAAGCTAAAACTACTCTATAGGGTCTATATAGGTATTAAATATAGTAGAAGTAACTAAATTAATAAATAATAGTAGGAACTAACTTAGTTATAATTATATTAGTTATAGAAAGTAGAAGAACTAAAGTATAATAAGCTCTTTTTAGTTATATAACTTTTAGTATAGATACTTTAGATATCTATTTTAGCCTACCTATCTAGACTATACTATTTAATACTCCTACTTAGGCTAGGATATATATCTCTAAATAGAATCTAAGTAATAGTATATAATTTAAAAGGATTTTCCTCTATCTAATTAGGTATTAGAACTTATTCTACTACTATAGTATAGTAGTTATAACTATAGTATAACTCCTAGACCTAGTATTTTTCTTTTATAGTATTAGGTTATCCCTAATACTATAAAGGAAATAATCTTCTTCTTTAGGCTATCTAGAGCTATTTTATAAACTTTTAGAATTAGGGTCTATTTTTTAGTTTTATAAAACTATTAGTAACTATCTCTTTTATTAGAATATATTCTACTATAATCTTTCTTTACTACTAGAGTCTCCTAATAAAGTTATAGGCTATATTATTAAATAGTATAGTCTAGATAGGTAGGCTAGAATAGATACCTAAAGTATAAATACTAAGAGTTATGTAACTAAGGGGAGCTTATTTTATTTTAGTTCTCCTACTTCCTATAACTAACTAATATAATTATAACTAGGTTAGTTTCTACTATTATTTATTAATTTAGTTACTTCTACTATATTTAATACTTATATAAACCCTATAAAGTAGTCTTAGCTTATATTAAATATTATAACCCTATATCTAGTTAATACCTAAGGTAAGCTAGTTATATAATTATATTATATAAACCGAGGCCCGACAAACCCGCATCCGGAAACGGACGCACCGCGTCCGCCCCGAACGGGTTTGGCGCGCGACCCCCACGCCGGTATAAGACCTCACCTCTTCCCTCCTCTCGTCCATTTTGCTTCCATTTCTCTGTCCTCCACTCCTGGCCGCTCGCCCGCTCCTGTCGCACCGTCGCCGCGCTGCTGCAGCGGCCTCGCATGATCTCCGCGCGCACTCCGAGCGCCTCGCCCAACCGATGCCTTCCCTCGACGCCGTCGTTGTCCGCCCGAGCTCACCACGACCGCGCCGTACGATCGACCGATTCCCCGACGCTCGACGCCGTACCTCAGGATGGCCTCGAGCGTCATCAACACGCCCGTTCCATGAGTCCACTGTGTGTCCCCCGCGACGCCGCACACGTTGTACGACGGCCTCGTCTCAGGTGCCCGCTGCGCCCGCTTCGTTCAGCTACACGAGCCCCATCCCCGAAAACGCCGCATGTCCCTCGCGCACAGCCCACGTCCGTCCTGCACCAACCTGGGCCGAAACGAAACCGCCGTATGGAAGAGATGGGGGTTGCTCGCATATTTCTTGTTGGTACTCTCTCGATCCGTCGCAGCTGAACCAGATGCGGACGATGGTCGGGCTGTGCTAGAGTGCCACAGGTGCTTGATTGGAACGTGGAGTTTCCGACGGGTCAGCTCGCCAAGTTGTGCATTCCGACTCAACGGTCGAAGCGTGCTCGCTTACAAGATTTGAATGGCAAGGGCGCTCCAGGCACCCACGAAGTCGTCAGCAACACACTGCCATCTTCGTGAACAGGGATCTGCAAGGATGCGCCGTTGGCCGCGGCTTCAGCTTGACCAACTGACCTACGCGCGGCCCTGCCTTTGCGTTACGCGGATGCACCTCGACCGTAGCGACTGCCGATGTCCGGTCAGTTGCTCGATCAGCGCGGCTTTTACGCTATCCAGGCATGTCATGATCCTGTTCGGGAATCCAGCATTGCCAGATACAGGCAAGGAAGGACACAGCGCGTCGCATCGGCCCACTCTCACACGATCATCCCACTGTATGGCAGAACGGCCAGCCACCTCGCTGGGTGGATGCCCCGATCTGATCATTTCGCTTCCACCACCCAGGTTGCGTGCATTAGACCGCTAGCTTCGAAAGGCAGCCCCCGCAGAACCGAGCTTGATGGGAGACGTCTTCACGAATCGCAAACCTGTTGGCATACTTTGGAGATCAGTCAAAAGATGGTTGGGGTGCACGTTGAGGACGGGCATACAGACGCTTGAGATGCGCCAGGCAGGCAGCCGACCTGCCCGGTGGATGACGAGTGGCTCACGGCGCACCAGAGCTTGCGCGCCAGTGTGCTGCTGGAGTGCGCCCACCTGCCTGTTGTAGCTGCGCTGCCTATGGGCTGTGCTTTGGCCCCACATCGGCTGCGAAGCGACGGCACGGTGAGACGGAAACCGCATACGAAACGATCCAACTCTGCGCCGCTGTTCGAATATCCCTGTCATTGCCGCGCCACTAAACCTCAGTCGCGATGGCTCGGGGGCATGGGGTGGAGCTGAGACTGTTGCGAGTGGAATTCTCGATCCCCCAAACCAAACGGACCTGGCAGCATTTTCACCCTCCATCTGTTCTTGTTCCACTTGTCTATCGATCTGACTTGCCTTTACGCAACATTCATCAACTTGCTACATCATTCAGTGCCTTCGACTTCGTGGCCTGGCTTTGGCGCGCCCACCGGCATGTCGATTAAAGAGATGGCGACCTCGTTCGTTTCGAAAGGTCCTATACAACTCGACAACATGATCATTTACCGAGGGCCGCCTGCTTCGAGAAAGAAACCTGGACCGCAGGCAAAGACATTTGAGCAGTCCGCCCCGAGGCCCGCAGAATCGCTTGAAGCCAGATGGCCCACGTCAGCCAGCAGGACCGATTCGACAGCAGATTCAGATGAATGTACGAGGCTCCTTGTCAGAAGCATGGTCGTGACACCAGACTGACATATGAGATCTGTAGGCATTGCCATGGATGTGGACTTTTCGCCAATTGATCATCATGCGCAATATGGCCGCCACGACGATGCCACTGAATGCAGTGGAGATCACCAACAGATGTCTCTGGACTGGCTCGAGCCGCTCGAGTCATTCAATTTCGGCGAAATTGTGTACAACGGTCAGCTCTCGCCAGAGCTCGGAGTGCAAGGTTTCAGCGCCGCTCCAAGCCTAGGACTAGAGCCTACGATGGAGTTGCCGGCAGTCGTCATCGACACTGACCCCGATTTTCCACAGAGTGGACTATCGGATTCTGTGGAGTTCAGCACTGTTCTATCGAGCGCCGTTCAATCGGGCCCTGAATCACGAACAACAAAAGTTGAAACACGGATCGGTGCTGTGGTTGACATGGCGGCAACAGACTTGCCGTCATCGTCCCGGTGTCGAGGGCCAGCCACGATCGACCTTCCATCGGATGACGTCCTGAAGCTCTCGGACGACGGCAAGGCTGTGGCGAGTGAAAGTGCCGCTGGACCCCTAACCTCACCCGATCTGGCGACGCTCAACGGTTCAGAGCTATCGAGAGCGTCGCGAGGAGAGCTGCACCCGGCTGGTACAGAGGCGGTGACAGGCTTCCAAGTATCGCAAAAAGGACTGTCTGATGATATCGGGGCCAGGTAAGCGCATCTCCAGATCAGCTGCTATGATGAACACTGCTGAAAAAGCGTCCACTGACACTGTACAGCACGGACATCGACTTGACCGACCTCTTACCTCCGGCAGTCGAGGGCGAGAAAAGCGTCTGCGCAGAACAGAATCACGTAAATGAGGAATTACATGAGCAGGGATGTCAGGAGCAGAGGTCTCCGCTACATAGGAGCGAGTCGGAGCCATCACATTCGGTGCAATCAGCCGATTGCACCACCGACGACGATGAGGGCGCACCCTTCGTACCTGGCAGGAGACGATGTGGCCCTCTTTCAGCCCGCTCCCCGTTATATCGGCAAGACGTCGACGACTTCCGAGGATATCCCGCGACAAGTTCTGAAGGACAGTATGGTACGCCGGGAATCTCGTCTCAGGGCCGCCTAGGCAGGCATGGGCGAAAGCGAATGCACGTTAGATGCACACATCTCGATGACGACGATTTCGTCAGCAAAGAAGCCGAGCTCTTGCGCAAGGTAAGATGTCGATTCTCGTGCCTCCGACGGTGCTGACAAGTATCCCGCAGGCAGACGAACCACACAGGCGTCGCAAAGCTCGCAAGCGCTGTGGCAGCAGTGACCGTCGTTCACAACGTCCTGGCTGCTCGGCCGTTACTGCTTGCTCGCTAGAGACTGTGCAGAGGCCATCCCAACCAAGTCGTCGGAGACACTGCCAAGACCACGATGCTCGCTCTCAGCGGTTGTCGTTGGCATCGACACCGCCAGAGCTGCTAGAACAGCCGACCTGGGCCGTTGACCGCATCGTCAGATGCAGCCTGAAGAATGGGAAAGTGTTCTACAGGGTCAAATGGAAAGATACCTGGGAGCCTGCAACCAGTCTGCAAGGTTGCGCGGACACCGCTGTCGCAGAGTTCCACGCTGGGCGTCCCACTACCCGCTCCCACAATGAGTGAGTCGAGAAGGCACAACTTCTTAAGCAAAAGAGCTTTAGACGTACGTGGAGGTAAAGAAAGCACGTACGTTTAACACTAGCTGTGTTCGTCGAAGGAGTTTTTTGTGTTATTCTCATCTTCTAATGCACCTGCTGCGTCTCAAGTCGGCGGCTAATCGGCTACACATTTCCTAGAAACGAACCCCTAGAGGAGACCAGTCCAGTCTCGCAGTACGATAATCTTAATTGAGGAACAATGGGGGCGGCAGCAGTATTGGCGGCTAGACCACCACCTTGCTCGCTCAACAAGTAATACCCCCTGCTACCTCTTGCAGACCTATCTTTAGAATGATACTAGTCTCGAGTAAGTCCAGATTGTGAAAGTGGACGAGCGGAGCTGTAAAAAGCTGGTCGTACAGCGAGCCTTCGGGGCGTCCCGTCGCAGCAGTCGCAGCCGTGTCCTATGTTCAGCTGACTGTTGCTGTAGGACCACGACTGATCATACAGCCCTTCGAGTATTGCTACTGCGCTTCCTGCCGATATCTGGCCCAGACCGAGGATTTCCAACTCCGACACGCTTCGTCTGATCTCTCGCAAGCGTCGCGTTCATGTCGCAGAACTGGCAATCGCCACCTCCGAAGACCCCCAACAGCTGTACTAGTTGCAGGAAGAGCATGGAAAGTATTGCAAGAATGCCTCGATAGGAAGGTCATGTGGAATGATAAAGTGGAAGGTGGTAGGACACAGAGGCGATCGGCATTGGCAGTGAAAGGAGTGCATTTCAGCTACGCGAGGGAATACCCTTCTGCTTCTTTCACGCATGGCATCGCTTCTGGGCACGTCGAGCAGTCGAAACTCAATCATGAAATGCCTGCTCCAGCAACTCCATCGCAACCCGAACTCGTCTACCTACAGAAGAGATGTTCCTGGAGTCAGCGGAATTCTCTACAGTGGTCAATTGCTACCGAAGTAATTTCCTTCCACGAGGGCAAGCCTCGCTCAGGAGGTTCCGCTACAGATTCGAGTACGTTTATCCTTCGGCCGCCAAATGCAACACATCAATTCTTACTCTTCCACCTGAGAACCTCCGTGACAATTCCAACGACTGTCGCGCTCGCTTGGATGATACTATTGACAATCGCTACACCCCATCCACCCATTGCAGCGCTCTGGAGGGTAGAAAATGCGAGTGGGGTGCCGTACATCGATTGAAAAGCTGCAGCAAGCCAACCTTGGTTGCCCAATGAGTCCGAGTCATGCATTCATCGCAAAAGTAGAGACATACCTGCCATTGGCCCACCACTTCCGAATCCTAAACCGAGGAGCGCTGGTGTCGCCATCACGCCCGGGATAACAATTACGAGGAGACACGAGAGCTGGAGCGTAGTCGTGCCGGGATTCATCTTTAGGTGCTCGGTCACCGCCGATGGAAGCTGTCTCCACTCCAAGTCGTTCAGTCCGATCGCCATATGGCCAAACATGGCCTTGGCCGCTTCGAATGTTGCTCGTCCTTGGTCTGTCATGGCCCTTGGCTGTCGCTGGTCAATCTTTCAGGTATTGTGTCCGGAGGCGGGAGTGCAGGAGAAATGATGCTGGGCTTCGAACACCTCTCAGAGACATGAAGCTCGCACTTATCGGTCAAGATGCCTGCTCTGGTACTATGTTTGGAAGACGTCCATAGCGTTGGCCCATGGTACAGCACGAGAGCTTTCACTGCGCCGGGGATACCACCTCAGATCCTTTCTTTTCAACTGACGGCGTCGCGGGACCATTGGCTGCGGAATGTGCGGAGACCTGCACCTGATGCACACATGAATTTCCACTATTCACCGCCCCTCTCTACCAACATGAAGCTCAGGCAAGGAGTGGTTTACCAATCGCGGTCGTCCAAGTCTTATCTACAGTTCGAACGAACCAAGGCTGCTCAACCCCTTGCTCTGGCAAATCCATAAACGGGTCGGAAAGCCGCGTAGAAAAACCCTCGACAATACCCTTTAAAATTACTTTAGCCCCGTCAGAGGAATTGCAATGACTGGACCATCCGCAGCCACCATGGCGCCAGCACCAGCTGTCCATATCACGGATTCGCTGGAAGAGTTTCAATCAGAAGAACAACGGCAGGTACTCGACACTGTCGCCCAGATTCGCAAATGTGGCTTAGATGCGATCTTACCACTTCCACAGATCGCTGTTTGCGGTAACCAGTCTGCTGGCAAGAGTTCCGTACTAGAAGCCCTTACGGAAATTCCCTTCCCTCGGAATGACAACCTCTGCACGCGCTTCGCGACTGAAATCACCCTCCGCCGCGGTGCAGCCGACTCTCTCCGTCTTTGTATCATCCCGGACGGGAGCCGACCAGCCGATGAAAAGGCTGCAATCTCCGCGTTCTCCGAGACTATTGTGGACTTCACCGAATTGCCTAATATCATGTCCAAGGCCTCGTCCGTGATGGGGATCAACTCTGCAGCCAACAGCTCCTCTGAGGGCTCCTCCCATCAAGCATTTGCGAGAGACGTTCTGAGCTTTGAGATCGAAGGTCCAAATCGCCCACAGTTGACTGTTGTCGACGTCCCCGGCCTCATCCAAAACGTGACGAAAGGGGTTACAGAACAGGACAAAAGAATTGTGGCCGAGATCACCGACTTTTACATCAAGCAGGAGCGGACCATTTGCCTTGCTGTCATACAAGCAACGGACGACTAAACAAAAGACCACTCAAACGCGAACGGAGAGTGTCGATTCCGCGACATTCGTCCGGAATTGTACTGAAGTTGGATTTGCGGAAGAAGGCAGCTTCAGACGCATTCCTTTCCTCGACAGAGAAGGAGGCTTCCTCAAACTTGCGATTCTTCACAACATGCCACCCTAGCTTAAAGAATACATCTTCGTTCCGAGCAAGCGCAAGGTACGCTGCTTCGCTCCCCGAATTGTGGTCCAGTCGGTCCGGTTTGGTAATAATGCCAAGGGTACGGCTGCCATCTGGGTCAACTTCTCGGACTTTTGTCAAGATAGGTTGGTTCGCATTGAACATATCAAACGCGAGCTTCCCAATCTGCGGCGAGACCTAGACATCGCCCTGGCGGAAACCACAGCACAACTGGACAGATTAGGGTCTACTCGCGCTACCGCAGACGAATGTCGCAATTATTTGACAACGCTGAGTTTGAAATTTCTCGAAACCACAAAAGCGGCTGTAGATGGGCATTACGAGGGAGACTATTTTCAAGACTTCGCCGATGATGGTTTCGACATTGCATCGCCACAATCAGTGAAGCGGCTTCGTGCTGCGATTCAGTATGTAAACCAAGACTTTGCGGAGACCATGCGACGGAAAGGCCCGAAACACTTTGTATCCTGGGAAGATAGTGTCCACGAACCGTCCAAGACTTCGCTCAAGGCAAATGCCATACCGACGCTATCTCGCCAAGAAGCTCTCGCTTGGGTTGCACGGGTCCTGGTTCGATCTCGAGGGAAGGAGCCTATTGGAAACTACAATCCACTCATTATTGGCGAGCTGTTCTGGGAACTATCATCCAAGTGGGAATTGTTAGCAACTGATCATGTCGACACCGTGGCCGATCTTTGTAGCAAATTTACGGATAGACTGCTTGAAGAGACATGTCCGCGGGATATTCGGGCCCGTCTCTCTGCTTTGAAGATCGCAGATGGTTTACAGGCGCGGAAAGCGAGGGCAACGGCAGAGCTCAATAACATTCTTGAGGACAAGCAAGACTTCCCAATAGTCTATAATCACTATTACACCGACAATGTACAAAAGGCTCGCCAGAAAAGGATGGAGAAAAATCTTGGAAGGTCAATCGAGGCCGCAACCTCCCACCAACATTTACCCAATTGCAACTCTAATCACACGTCTGCGACTGTCGACATTGATGTTGCATTGCGACATTTCCATGGCAATACGGAACGTGACATGGAGAAACACAGCTGCGAAGAAGCGCTAGACTGCTTGCTCTCCATGTACAAGGTAATGACGAAAGTTCTGCTTGCTGTCTTCTCGCGCTGACAACCCAAGCCAGACCCAACAGAAGACCTTCGTAGCGAACGTCACCTCCCAAGTCATTGGACGACACATGGTACGCAAGTTGGACAAGCTCTTCACTCCCTTGGACGTGAACGGTTTATCTGATGAGGATGTGATGAAGGTGGCAGCGGAGCCTGCAGCCACCAGGAGGCAAAGAGACTTCTTGGCAGACAGACAGCAGAAGCTCCTAAGTGGTAAGAACATTTTTCGAGGCATCATGGGCCGCATAAAGTAAGAATACAAGTTCTCGTTGAGGAAAAGCTGGCAGTCCGGATCATGTCTTATTCGCAAGAGAACGCTCGGACGTTTCCGTAGTCATATACGTGTTGTTTCTAAGCTTGGTCACCTCTCTTTCAGATTCTATGGCCTGACTTCGTCCCCTTCCCCGCAACTGACGTGGTCTGCGGCGCTCCATTCATCCAAATCCTAGGAAAGCTAGTTGGCTTGACGGACGAGCAGGATCGATTCTCCGCATCGCATCTGCATATCAATCTAACGCGCAGGTATTTGCTACACCTCAACCACTTCCACACCGATGTTCGCGTTCCGACAACGAAAGCCCTGTTCTGATGCTGAGCAAAAACGAAACGAGGAGAAGAGCACGCCAATCAGCACGTGACAAAGCAAGACATCGAGCACAGCTGCAAGAAAGAGAACGAGCACAACCTGGGCGACAAGTTCAACACTCTGTAGCACCGCACTCACTGCAGATAGGCTGGCCAACAACAGCAACTCTTATGTATACACCGTTGAAAAAGGAGATTTGCCCAAAAATGTTGCAGCTGGACAAGGCCCGGGGAGATGTGCGTAGATCAGTCTGGCTTGCTATACACTACTAAGGCGACCACTAGGTAGGACTGACCAACTCCCTCAACGAGCGATTCGCTCAACAGCTCTCGGAGTGAGTTCACACCTCTTGAAGTGACTGTCGCTCTAAGACACGTGCAGCCAGTTCAATAAGCGCGAGCTCGCCGATGTCGAAATCTCTGTTGGAGACATTGTCATCCACGCGCACCGGCTTGTGCTTTGTCTCCAAAGCAGGTATTTTTCAGATGCATTAACAGGTGGATTCGCGGAGGCATCACAGCGATCATTGGCATGCGAGCCTGGCAGAGAGCAAGCGTATCTTCGAGCACTTCGGTATCTCTATACCGGAGATTATGAGGAAGAACCGTCCGCACTACTCACAAATGACGGTATGACACTCAGCGCAGGGCAAAATCCTCACTAACATGAGATCCCAGATGACCAGGAGCTTCTAAAGCATCCTCGCGTGTATTTCCTCGCTGATTCGCTTTTCCTTGCCGACCTCAAAGCGCTGGCGTTAACGAAATTTGTGAGCGATCTTGAGAAACTGTGGGTGAGTGAGGGTCTGGTTGAATGCATTGTGGAGATCTACAACAACACATCTGGCGCCAATGATATGAAAGCAGCAGTTGTCCGCACCCTAGTGGAGCATCGGAACGAGCTGCTCTGTAAGCCTGCTTTTGAAGCTCTACTGTCAGATGGAGGAGATTTTGCTGTTGACTTAGTGACAGCTCTGGTGAGCGCGACCTGAATTCCATAGACTGCATCTATCGAAGCTGTTTGAACGAACCATCATGCCAAAAACATAGCACCTCGTGCTGTGGTGTTTATGTTTTCCTTCCGATTTGAGCCGAGTCTACACGCTGGAGGCTTGGGCTAGGAGCAAAAAACCCTGAAGATCTCTTACTATGCATTCGAATGCACACTCGCCTACATCAAACTCTAGGACTCGACCGGTGTTGATGCAACGTATGCTCTTTCGCATCGCCTTCCCAGTCATGGAGAGTGCGTATGTATGAGGAGCCTTGCGTGGACAGCTGAAAGCCAGGGTGCGGCGTCGACGGTAGTGTAGATCGTCGGACTCAGTAGGTGGCCGATTTCAGGGTGGGTGGTCGACGGCAGGTGGGAGGTCGACGGCAGGGTAGGAGGTCGAGGTCAGG